TTTTATTAATTTTTATTAATTTTTATTAATTTTTATTAATTTTTATTAATTTTTATTAATTTTTATTAATTTTTATTAATTTTTATTAATTTTTATTAATTTTTATTAATTTTTATTAATTTTTATTAATTTTTATTAATTTTTATTAATTTTTATTAATTTTTATTAATTTTTATGAATTTTTATTAATTTTTATTAATTTTTATTAATTTTTATTAATTTTTATTAATTTTTATTAATTTTTATTAATTTTTATTAATTTTTATTAATTTTTATTAATTTTTATTAATTTTTATTAATTTTTATTAATTTTTATTAATTTTTATTAATTTTTAATGAATTAATATTATTATTTTTTTTTAATTTAATTTTATTTATTTTTATTTATTTTATTTAATTTATTTTTATTTATTTTTATTTATTTTTATTTATTTTTATTTATTTTTATTTATTTTTATTTATTTTTATTTATTTTTATTTATTTTTATTTATTTTTATTTATTTTTATTTATTTTTATTTATTTTTATTTATTTTTATTTATTTTTATTTATTTTTATTTATTTTTATTCATTTTTATTTATTTTTATTTATTTTACGATACTTTCCATTCCCCTCCTCCTTAAAATGTAAAAACCCAAATACCCTGAAACATATCTATTTATGAGAAGTAGCTACAATTCCAATTTTTAAGTTCCTATTTTTAAAATATCGATACCCCAAACTTTCACCACCCCCCCTTCCCCCCTTTCCTCTCTTAAAATTTGAAAATTCAAAAACCCTGAAACACGCCTTTATTTATTTGTGATGGGAGCTACAATTTAAAACAGATGTAAACTAGAAACTAACAAACAGTTATATCAATATGTAAAGGAAAAAAATATAATACCTAATATAAATAAACACCATACTGAAGAAGGCGCTGACCAGAATTTTATTTAAAAACCATCCGAATACATACAGGCACCTTAAAACCCAAGAACTTATCACAAAACATTTTAAGTTATCTGCTGACATTACAGCAAACAAATACTTGACTATGACTAGACAGAATCTGCGCTTGATTACAGGCATTCTGATTGGTCATTGCCAAGTACGGAAGCATCTTCATTGCATGTGGCTGTCAGAATCCGCACTCTGCAGGGGGTGCGAACAAGAAGATGAGACCATCGAGCATATCCTCTACGATTTCCCGACGCTCTTATTTAGTAGATTTGTGTTCGTCGAGTATCAGCTAACACCGGCCGATATAAGAGAAGCTACTCTTGGCGACGTTGTCAACTACGTTTGTTAAGAATATCCTTAACATAAATAATTTCTAAACCGCCCCTGTAACATTCACTAAAATAATAATCTAAAGCTAGGTTGACAAACTCAATAAAGTGAAATTAACTAGCGCGGTTGCTGTCCAATACAAATGCACGAATTTGAAATCAATAGTATTGACTGGACAAAGAAAAGTTGTTGGTAATATGTATGTCTGAAAATGATTGCGCAAGCCTCAACGGTTTTTTAAAGCGCGGCACCTAACACCAGATTCGTCTCACAGTTCTTAACATAACAATGGCCGACAAAATTATAAATATTCTGAGTAAGAAGCTTATGTATATATAGTGTAAATACAAATCAGATTATGCAGTGTGGTGTTCTCTTTAAAAAATAAACAGTGTTAAATGCAGAGGTGCTTGTTTTCTTCTCTCGTCGATAGTTTAGCACAAAACCGGCAGCTTCTTAAAAACATGGATTACAGTCCGCTTCTGATATATAGCTTAATGCAGCCTGCCTAAGATAAAAACCTTAACAGGCTTCATATCAACGTTAAATCTGTAGACTGGCTTACGAGTTAACTTCCTCAGCAGTTTGCTTGGCTTACGGAGTTTTGTCTCCTCTGCTTTGAGTCGGGAGACAAACACAACCTCGAGCTTAAAATGAATACTTATTCCCTTGTATAATAACTATTTTTGGCGACTGTCACAAAAAAATTATATTTTACGGATTTATATAATATCATCCCTAAAGTATAACTTTTTGGCCGCATTTACTTTACAGCCGCTTTTTATAAACACAAAGTTCATAAATTTATCGTTAGTAATTCTGTACAAATTTTATTGCTTGACAATATGTTTTTATTCGATCAATTAAAATAACAAGAATTTAGAAAAATGTTAGATCTACTTGATGTCGCCCAAAAAATGTTGTGTGCACCTGATAAGGTCAAAAAAGATCAACTTTACGGCCTTGGTACAAATAACTATTTTATGTATACTATTCGTACAAAAGCTGATCTCTGTTCGACAAACGGTTTCGAGATATTTGCAAAAAAATATATTTTTTTAATTTTGTAAAAACTGTGAAAGCTTCGTTCTTGTGACTTTTTTCATATTTTTAGGTGTACCATCGCCTCTTGAAGTTGAATTCACGGACAACATAAATACTTGCGAATAATAATTATTAATGTTCTCCTTATTTTTTGCAGCTTTTTTTTGTGTAATTAAATACACTTAATTTTTAGATTATACGAGTGCCAGTTTTGATTACGCAGTTTGCTCTGCGACTCTCGAGTACACCTAGAGTATACTAAAAATAGCCGCAATAGAGTAAATAAATTCCAGGCGGTCACTTGCAAATGGGTCATTACCTGAAAGAACATTAACACCTTGTACATTTTACTCTAAAGGTGATTCTGGAACAGCTACATAAAGGGGATACAGTTAAGAGAAACACAGGCAGTTTATACAAAATAATATATTTAAAATGGTAACCACGGTGTAGTAATGCGAATAATAATTTTAGTCTTTATTTACAATCAATTGCCCAAAAATAAAAAAATAAATATAAATCAATAAAGAAGGATATTCTTAATAAGCGGTGGTAGATCTAAGTTAATTAACAGTATAATTAACCTAACGACTAATGTTTATAAAAAATAAGAGAATACATATAAAATGGTAAAGACAGATATTCTTAATAAGCGGTGAAACGCTCCATGTTAATTAACAGTATACTTAATGGGTCCTATGATTGAACGTTTACGTTATCCGTAACGTACATGTTAGGCCGAATTTTAAAAGTAACGAGGCAAGTTCGTATGATGGAAACCTGTTAAATTAGAACATAACAGGCGGAAAATAACAGTAATGTGTTGGAAAAAGTTTTCAATCACACGAACTTGTCTTATTACTGTTAAAACTCGGCCTAACATGTACGTTACGGATAACGTAAACGTTCAATCATAGGACCCAATCTAAAGAAAATATATTTACCAAATTAAAACTTCGTAGAAGTAAATAAAAATAAAAAGCAATCTAATCAGCAGTGAAACCTCCAGAATTAACAGTATAGTGAATCTAAAGAAAATATATTTACCAAATTAAAACTTCTTGAAAGTAAATATAAATAAAAAAAAAATAAATCACCAAAACGGATATCCCCACAGTATTTGTAATCATCAGTGTATTCTCCAGGTTAATTAACAGTATAATTAACCTAATAACAAAATGTTTATAAAAATATAAAAGCTTTGAAAGAATAAATAAAAAAATAAAATTAAATCCGCAATTTTACATGATTTTCGGAACACACCCCCTTATGCTAATACTTTATTGTACTAAAGCTTTGCGTCAATAAATAAAATAAATATGTAATACGGTTGCACTCGTAGGTTTTCTACTAAAAGTTAATTAACAATATATTTAATGTGACGGAATTAGTTAAAACTAGAAACTACCGTTGTCATCCTAAAATCTATTTATTTCGATCGGCATTCCCAACAAGAGATAATTTAAAAAAACAGCGCCAGTTAAACTGATAGCCGAATTTTCGAAGAAAACTTGATTACTATTCCACTATTTTAATTGACAGATTCTGTTTAAAGGATTTTTTCAACGTTATCTCGTGGTCGACTGTCCGTAGTGAATTAAAGATTTCATTGATCGACGGAGTAGGGAAGGGTCTATTGACTCGGGACACATTGGATGTTGAGAAATTAATTTGGCGAAACAAGTCCATGTAATTACTAGCCTAGCTTTACTTTTATAACTTCAGAAATTCCAAAACATCATCCCGTCCAAAGTTGGGAAATTAATTTCCTTGGGCTACGAAACTTAAACTTCGGCTTTTAGAAATTCCGTCGTTAAAACCAGCCTGCGTGATCACTAGCCTGGTTTCTGTTACGAAACTTCAGAAATCCTAAAACGGTACTCAATACGAAACTAGTCTGGGCTATGAAGAATAATTTATTTACTAATAGTTAACACATCAACTGTCGATTAGGACAACAGCAAAATGAATCTTAATATAAAGGTTAATAGTGAAAGATTCTACCTTATATTTTCCACAGTTATAAGAGTAGGTGAAAAAATCGAGGGTATTACTAACTTCGGGAAATTGTATACGAAAAAGAGCGGAGAAGAAGAGAAAAAATGATATATTTTGAATGACTCGGGTTCTCGCAAATGTGTACGAACGGGAATTTTTAAGAAATAAAAGTTACGGGGGTTTTTGAGAACGCTAACAGGTGGAAATTAACTTTAACTAAACGTTTTTATAATCAAACTATAGCAAAATTTAGTGTGTACGAATTGAAGACAATACAAAACACATGTAAGCTTATGTTAATGGATGTTATAATTTCAACAAAATCCATCCGGCAACCTTGGAAATATATGAATTTGTGACTTCCTTATATTAATTTTAAGGGTTTGTTTGGGTTCAAACAGAACCGCTGATTCCAGTTCTCAAATACAGTGAACGAATTAATTTTTCAAGAACACGTCGAGAGCTTATAACAACCTCTTAGCTGATGTTATTTTGTTACGTGTAGCGATAACAATGTTGCCAAGTTGTAATCATTTTACGCAACTACGCGTCGACAGCTTTAAAAATATTTGTATTTTAAAAATTTATATCTGTTTACTAAGACGGTCAAATAATTCAACGTTTTTTTAGAAAATTTTCTTGATTTACATTACTTTAGTTTTTAAAAAATATGGTAAGAACCGTTTTCGAGATGTCTTGAAATAAATCCATTGCTTGTGTACAGGACAGGCTTCAAGAGTGTTAATTATGCACATTTTGATTGTTAATATCTCGTTTCACAGACGGTCAAAAATTTTTATTTTTTTTTTTAGTTACGTAAACGACACTTTCATTAACCTTATATTTTAATTTTATTGTATTCTTAAGAAAGGCCCTTTTACGACTGAACCACCTTAAGTGTATAAAGTTACGAACAGCATCGGAATAATATGCACAAAAAGGTCCTGAAAATTTGACTTATCATATGGCCCATTGGTTATTATTTTATTTTAAAAGAAAATCAATCAAATTATGAAAATTTAAAATTTTTTGATACACAATTTTTTTTGGTTCAATTTGATTTTGGTATTTAAAAATAATCTAAAACAAATTGTTTTTTTATTGATATTGATATGTCTACATAATAAACAAGTAAATTCAGCAAAATTTAAGAGAACCTTTAATTTTGCCATTAGGTACCTACTCAGAAGCTTTGTTAAATGTAGGCCACGGCCATTCTGGTTGCTCCAATAATCTAAAAAAAAAAATAATTTTATTAAATTGCAAAATAATTTTAATTTTCATTGACTTCTTCACACAATAGTATATAAATAAAAATGGAGGGGCGAAGGGGGTTGAAGTATTTTAAAAAATCCCAACTCAAAAATCAAGCTCTATAAGAGGACAAAGCCTATTGATTTTGACAAAAATCTAATTAAAAATGGGGGCTTAAAGGGGGTTGAAATTAAAAAAAAAAATCATGACTAAAAACGAAAAGCAATATCCATGAAATTTTTATTTATTGCCGCACGAAACTCGTTTTATTCATGATTAAAAAAATGCACAAATTGGTTACTTAAATCGATTTGTTTATACTTAATTTTCTTAAAACTACACTATGGAGTATTAGACTACTAGTACAATCCATAACCTACATAGAACACTAGGCTAATGACCTTAGATGTTGAAGCCGTACACTAAAGAAAAAAAAAAAAAATTTTCTTAAAAATTTGACAGCAGTTGTACGAAAAATGGCGCATTTAAATTTTTTTTTACATTTTTTAATTTTTTACCGAATTTTAGATTGAATTTGAGAGAAATTTAATAGATAAATCAAGGTTTTCTTTAAACATCTCGGCAACCGTTTGAACTAGGAAGATGCGGTTTCAGGTGTTAAATTTCTCTACATAATGGTATACATGAATATTGCGCTATCTCAAATTTTGGAAAATTAAGGAAGTAATTTGAAGGCGCTACCGTTAAAGATCGACCCATACATATTGTATATATACATTTTTGTAATCTACACGACGAGTTTTATAAGATAACATCAAAATCAGATATAATGTCTAATGTTTACAGCGATTTTGAGACACTTCCTATAAAATGACGAAAGAAATGTTTTATTGCCGCACGAAACTCGTTTTTATTCATGATTAAGAAAATGCATGAATTTTTTACTTAGATCGATAGTATGTTTGTTTATGCATAATCAGCTTGAAAATTTGACAGCAGTTATACGAACAACGATGCCTTTAAAAAAATTTAAATACTGTTTTGAAATTATTAATAAAAATTTTAAGAAAACGTTTTATTGCCACACGATGTGGCCACACGGAACTCGTTTTTATTGATGAATAAGAAAATGGCGTATGTTTATGCAAAATCTGCTTGAAAACTTGACAGTAGTTGTACGAACAATGGTATCTTAAAAAAAATTAAAAATTGTTTCTACTTACATTTTTTATTTTATTTTTAAAAATGTTTTATCGTCGCACGAAACTCGCTATTATTCATGCTTAAGAAAATGCTACTCGCCTTAATTTTCTGGAATTTATATTTTGTAAAACATATCTTGGATAGGTATATGTATATTGCGTAGGGTCAGTAGACGAAAAATGCAATATTCTATACCACAGGTGCCATCAGGTGCAGCAAGAGGGAAGCTGTTCCCCCTCGGAAAGAACCACGAAATTTCAAAATTTTTGAATAAAAGCTTTATTCTACGAATAGTTTTTAATATACAGAGTTGCAAATTGGCCATTTTTAAAAAGCCGCCTTAAAAGTTAGGTTCACAAATTTGTATCTTTATCCAAATGAAAAAAATTTTGGCCAAATGTGTCAACAATAATATAAATATGTTTTATTCTTTGACTAAGTTATTAATAAATAATAGTTACTTTGGTGACAACGCTCCAAAATCCACAATTCTGGCAGCTTCTCCAACATCCAACGCCTCCAATTTACTCATATCCTCTTCATTTATAGAAAAATCAAATATGTTGAAATTTTCTTCAATTCTAGTTAAATTAACACTTTTCGGTATCACCACTATATCTCTTTGCAACTGAAATCTTAAGAGAATTTGTGCAGCAGTTTTCTCATATTTTTCTGCCAGAATAACCACAATTGGATCTTGAAACAAGTTCGGCAAGTCTCTCGTTCTACGGAAAGTACGAAAAGACAGTTTAAAATAACGGGTGCCTCTCGATAGGGTTGAAAAAATGAAGTACATATTGTCCAAACTGTAATAAAACAAGTAGGCAATTTTAGAGAAGCAGCTATTTTAGTTTCAATGGTCGCACCCTGGTCAATTACATATTTTTATTGAAATTCGAGAGTATTCATTAAATTATAAAATGAAAGCTATAAAAAATCATACAGGCAGAATTCATTTTGGCGTTCTGGAAAATTACCTTGGTACAAAAACTAAAATAGATATTTAATAGTTTATTGCCTTGCAAAGCGCTCTCTTTTGTTGAATAATAACTATTTATGAAACCAGTTGCTAAATACCTTATTTGCGGGACGAGTAGAGTAGATCATTTAGACACTATACTCGGTTTTTAAAATAGGAGGAGCGATTTGAATTTAAGTTGGCAATTCTGTAGACTTCTGATTGGTCAGATTGCAGTCAGTTTCACACATCACTTTTTAGTATTAACATCAGCTAATAATTGATATTGTTGACAGTCCTGGCATTTTATATTTTGATATCTCATTATTGTTATTATTACTTAGTTTTTTACTTTATTTCGTAAATAATAGTTCTTTTCAGAACTTCAGTAAGCAATTGTATTGAATTTCTACGATTATGGATCCTTCTTCATCGAGCACTATTAAGGGTAGCAATTCCTGAAAAGCCATATAAGGGAAGACGACTTATTATTTTCTGATAACGTCAACAAATCAACGACTATTAAATTTCGTTTGACAGTGACAGTTCGTTTTAGACACACTTTTCAGATCACAATAATGTGAAATGTACGATCGTTGTCTGGAACCAATGAAAACATAGACTCCTATGACATTTATTTGTTCGTTAACCCCTCATTGGCCTTTCGCCGACTAGGGCCGACAAAACCAAGTATTACATAAATTTTGAACATGCTCTTAGTAGCGAATCTAGTAACTTTTCCCTGTGTAAATGCGTCTTTTCAATTCGCTTCTCCTAGTTTAAAAACAGAGTAGAGCTGCGATTATAAAAATGTCACTTTATATGTCAAAATTAGAAAACAATTGAACAATTTCTGTCGTGTAAATGTGCTCATATCACATACTTTGATTTTCTTTTACTATACGGAGAATGGTCGCACTGTGCAGCTTTCTGAGTGCCTTTTAAAAGGAGATAGAAAACTCCGCCATTTTGAACCCTTATTACGTGTTGCCTGCATCTTGGCGCAATATTTTTAATAGGTGCGTTTTAATCATCCGCTTCTGCTTCGGAATTGTAGGTTTTCTTGTTTTAATCTGACAGGTTAAAACGAATAAACCGACAATTCCGGAAGCAGAAGCGGATGATTAAAACGCACCTGATATTTTGCTTGTTGCTGTTAGTGTCAGTAAATATTATTTTTGAAGTCACAGTTTATTGCTAAAGAATCAGTTAGCTCACTCGGACCAGTTGAAAGTTCCAAAATAACATCCACTCCAGGGATACAAATTCAGGATACGCATAAGACTGCTGTTTTATTATAGACGGTTGTCATATATTGTATTATCCGAGTTGCACAGTGTATAAACTGAAACATTGAGATCAAAAGTGCCGACGCAGAGTGAGCGATCTGATTCTTTAGCTGTAAACTGTGTCACAGGGTTCAAAATGGCCGCGCCCTATGTGGGGCGTGTCGGACCTCTCTCTTGCCTCGTATAGTAATCAAAGTATGTGGCTCATATCAAATTAATTTAAATACCTGGTGTATTAAAAATTTGTGTCAAAAAAAATTGCAAACATTAGTGACGAAAAATTCAATACGGGTACGCCCCCAGAAATTAGCGACGCAACAAATTTGGCGTCTTTGAATTTGTTAAAAAAAATAAAAAATGGTATACGAAACCTACCCAAGATTTGAGAATTCTAATCGGTATGCAACACTTTATGCACTTAACTTTAGAGGCCATGGCCATAAAGTATTTTATGAAGTATATACAAAACGACGTTTTTGACACATTCGAATAAAAATTAATTTTTGGATTTCTAAAATCAGAAATTCAATTTTTGCTAACGCGAGTTGGAAAAACGCATAGGTACTTCATAGTGTTTTCCCATAAATTTAAAAAGGAGAAAGAAATACACATTATTAAAATTTTGTTACATTTGACATTTAATTTTCGTCATTCATTAGCAATTTTTGTGTGCATTATGAAGTTATTGTGAGTTTTGAAATATTATTTTGATACTTGAAAGACTTTTTTATTAAAAAAAAAATCTTAAAAGTGGCCGTGGACGCGTGGTCAGAGTGCTTGCCTTCCACGCGAAAAGCCGGGGTTCGAATGTCGGCGGGGACTATTTTTTTTATGTTTATTTTATTTAAAAAATCAGTTAAATTCATAAATTATTTGAAAATTAGTTATTTTGTCCTAATAACCGAAAATGTTTTTTTTTTTAAATTTGTAGATGTTCGTTAGTGGGTTGAAGAAAAAATATACTGTACAACTCGAGTGGATTGTCCATTTCCACTCTTGTTGCACAAACTACTATTTATTCTCTTATTAAAAAAGTATTTTGAATTTAATTATACAGTGAGCATCTTAAGTCTTACCCCCCCACCCTATCTAACTCGTTACTGGAATCTTGTTGGGAAAATCGCCGAGACACGTCGATTTTTGATTTTTACAATGTACATTTTTGTATAAATAGTTTACCCTTAATTTCATCCCTTACTGGAGGGCAGCAACCCTTTCGAAAAATTTAAATGGCATGGGGTGGTGAGTGATAGCTCATCTGAAAGGGGGTTGGTTTTATTCTCTATTCAACCATGCAAAAATTTTTGAAATTTGCTTCATTAATTCTCGACTAAATATTGTTTCAGAATAACAGAAATTAACGTAGTGCACTCATCCTTAGAATTAAAATTCTGCCCTGCATGATATTGGTTTTAGTTCAGACGTGAAGTAAGACTTTTTGCCATTAGATAAGGTCACTGTTAGTTCAGTTTCTTTCCTATTTGTGATGTTTTGTTATTTTTAAACTTTAATAAATCAACACGTAATGAAGCAAATTTCAAAATTTTTTACACGGTTGGATAGAGAATAAAACCTCCTTTCAAATTAGCTATCACTCCCCACCCCTTGCCATTTAAATTTTTCAAAAGGGTTGCTGCCCTCCAGTAAGGGATAAAATTAAGGGCAAACTATTTACACAAAAATGAACATTGTAAAAATCAAAAATCGACGTGTCTCGGCGATTTTCCTAACAAGACTCCAGTAACGAGTTAGTTAGGAGGGGTAAGACTTATGATGCTCACTGTATGTATATTTTTATTGAATTAGTAAAAAACTGAGTACCATTCAGTGGCGGCTGGTGAGGAAGGGCGCTGGGGTGCCGCCCTCCCTGCGAAGTAGCAGGAGTCATCTGCAAATTAGTATACTTAATCAGTAATTTTATTTAATTCCTCCTATATTTATTAACGATAAAAGAGTCAAACACAAATAAATGCAATAATAAAGTTTGTGAACGAAAAATTTCATTTTTGCTATAGATGAGCCGGACCTGTACAATACGAATAGGAATAATACCACTGATCTGTATTATTTTACTGGATAGGATATAGGCTATATTTAACATACTAAAAAACCGTTCCACCAAGGAGACCGGAAGTGCAACAATGCTTGCCAATTTGGGCAAATTATGGTGGGTTCACAGAACTGAAATTTGGGATAATTTGACATACCTAACCTATAATTTGAATAGTTTTTCTTCTAATTCTTCTTCTATTCCTTTTGCGGGCGATGTTCTTCGGGAAAATTCACCCATGATTTGATTTTTTATGAAAGAAAATATAAAAATGGAAACGTGAAGCATATTGTGTCTTTAGGAATGAACGTTTATTATTTATTTCATACTCTTTTTACTTTGTTTTCCACAATAAAAACATCTCATCGTAGTTTGTTGACACAATTAAATGACAAATGTGATGACAAATGGAAATAGAGGTTACGTTAAATAACATCCGGTCCGCCATATTATTTGCCCAAATCGGCCAATTTTTCGGAACGGTTTTTAGGGGGCTATATCCGATCCAGTAAAATAATACAGATCAGTGAATAATACGGTTTTCTCTATCATTTAATAAATGCGCGCTATAATTATTGTATCGGTGTAGTACCACCAGCCCATAGCGTCAGTTGCCATGGTTACCGACGTCAACGTGTATATCGCGGAGTAATGGAAAGAAATGATGAATTTTGGATGCATGCGTTGGCGAACGCAGCTCAATCAGCCCATCTCGCGATCGCATTGTGGTTTGTTTTGCTATGTTGATCTAGTGTGGTGTTGTTTATTTAATTATCTTCGTAATAATTATTTATCACGAAAATAACGGAATTAAAAAGCCTCGTATTCAGCCTCTTAAGTTTAAATGATTTTTGGTATTGATTTTTTTGGTGCCCTGCTTATACTCAGCCCTCCCTATTACACTGGTACAATTCTGGCATGACTCAAATAGCCAGACGTTCCACTTCACTGATGGTATCCGTGTGTAAACGTTTTTCTGAAATGACAGTTCATATCTCCCCCTCTCCATATCTATGGTGTTCCCTCAATATTTATGAATAGGGTTGAAATAGTATTACTTGTATAATTTTTAACATTATTATGATTATAGTCTTATTTACAAAACATCTTTATTAAATTTACCCACATGTAATACCTTAAAGGTAGAAACGTCTTTATAATGGAAGATATTTCACAAACTGTTATTTCTTTTAATCTTGAAAACTGACATTCTTTACATGTTTTTCTATCGATTTCTTAAATGTTTTCTAGAAAAATATTAACAAGTATTATTTAACGTGTTAATGAATTGAGAAAACATAACCTCATTTATGTGAATTTACTAACCACAGTAACGATTCAAAGTGTGATTAAGAAATCACACCATCGTTTAACTCTACTTTTTCTCTGAATTAGCGTTGACGTTTCGATCTTTTAGAATTTACACGTATATAACTATTTAAAAATGCTTTGTGAATGCGGATGTCAATCTAGTATATGGTTAAAATATTCATAGCTATTATTTAATATTACTTACGGTTTTCCGATAGAGGCGTAAAAGCTGTTATAGCCCGGTGAACCTAATGTCGAATAGCCCACCACAACTATTCCATTATCTTGACAATATTTGACCAATTCGCGTTGCTGCAAGTAAATATGGTTTTCGATTTGTAAACAAGATGGTTTGATCCTAGCGTCTTGGACGATTCTATCTACTTGTTCAATATTAAAATTTGATAGGCCAATCGTTTTTGTTCTGCCTTCATCCACCTGTTCTTCCATTTTCTGAAGAGAGGTTGATTAATAAACTAATAATTTTATCTCTTAATTATTGTTCTAAGTAGGTAGGTACATTTATACAGGGTGTTTCAAAAAGGTATGTCATAAATTCACCCTCAAATAGATTACCAAAAAATAAGTGAAATTAGCTATATTTACCTATATCAAAAACTGACTCCCAACAAAGTTACAGGGTGTTAAACTTACATTCAGAAAAACGTTTTTTTGTTGTACTTAAAAAGTTTGCTGTTGCGATTTTTTCTTCGAAATGTTTGCCAGTGCTGTAGATTTGAAGGCCCAATATTCTAAAGAGAAAATAAATTTAAAGCGACCCCTTTAAAAAAAGTTGGGGGGTTGGGTACCTTTTAACCCCCCCGTATTTTTTGGCCATAAAGAAACTTGCTTTATCGATCCTAAAATCAAAAAGGACTATGAATTTTTAAAATTTTTTTATAGCAAAATGAACTTTGTATCTTTCTTAGTTAACGAGCTATTTACAATTTTTTAACTGAATTTCTAGAGCAATTCGTTCGTCCTGGACTTAACATATCAACAAAACTAAGAGTAGGTCAGGAGTTATTGTACAAAAAACGCATATAAAAATCAGTGGTGTGCCTAGGGCTGTGCCTGAGCCGCCCCTGCAAAAACTACCTTTTTAAAAAAGGTATTTATAATATTGGATTGGCGCCATAAAAACCGGTCCTCATGGGTTCACCATGCCACTGATAAAAATACACGTTAGTTGGGAAATGTATTTATTAAATTTAATAGTAAATAAACAAATTATTTTTTTAATTAAACAATTAACAATTAAAAATAAATATTTGGTAATAATTATTATACATATTTTATAAACTATTTAATTTAGTAAATATTTAACATGTTCACCTCCTTCTTGAATACAAAAATATAAATAAAAGAGGTAGTTTTTGCAGAGGCGGCTCAAGCACAGCCCTAGGCACACCACTGATTTTTATATGCGTTTTTTGTACAATAACTCCTGACCTACTCTTAGTTTTGTTGATATGTTAAGTCCAGGACGGACGAATTGCTCTAGAAATTCAGTTAAAAAATTGTAAATATAGCTCGTTAAATAAGAAAGATACAAAGTTCATTTCGCTATAAAAAAATTTTAAAAATTCATAGTTCTTTTTGATTTTAAGATCGATAAAGCCAATTTCTTTGTCAAAAAAAAAATACGGGGGGGTTGAAAGGTACACAACCCCCCAACTTTTTTTAAAGGGATCGCTTTAAATTTTTTTCTCCTTATAATATTGGGCCTTCAAATCTACAGCACTGGCAAAAATTTCGAAAAACAAAAATCGCAACAGTAAACTTTTTACAAAAAAAAAGGTTTTTCTGAATGTAAGTTTAACACCCTGTAACTTTGTTGGGAGCCAGTTTTTGATATACTTAGGTAAATATAGCCAAATCCACTTATTTTTTGGTAATCTATCTAAGGATGAATTTATGACATACCTTTTTGAAACACCCTGTATAATATATACAATATACATAAAATGAAATGCACCTAAAGCATGTATATTTGAGGTTTCGCAAAATGAATTGACGAGTCAAAAGCAAAAACGATAAAGTACCTACCTATTGAATTTTAAGTTTCGAAACCAAAATATACTCAGAGCAGAAATATTAAGGAATAAGATGAGTTGGTAGCCATTTTATTAGATAAGATTATGTGAAAAACGTCATTTTTGTTTTTGTTCTTCTTCACGCATGTCGCACACTGACCTTAAGTGTTTTTTGCTGTGTTTTCTCGTGACATTCATGGTTTTGCTGTGTACACCACTGTTTCTGAAATAACTCCGTTACTGTGAGCTTTATTTTTATTGCTATGAAAACCAGTTTAGCGTATACTACAGACTCTCAGCAGTTTAGGAAAAAAGGTGACCTTCATCGTTTTTTGCTGTGTGCTCTTCAATTATACCTTGGACGAAGATAAAAGTCTTTGTTCGTTGCATACTTACAACGGTGAAGAAAAAACAAACTATTTACTTCCTTCGCTTACCGTTTACTATTTTGTAGAAAACCCAATAAAACGTGAAGAAACAGATCAAACATAATTTACTTACACGAACATTGAAAAGGCGCCATTACAATAATACTTATGTTAGATGTTACTTTGTTCAATATTAAAAGAGTCTAAATAATAGGTAGGTACGCGAAATTTGAGCATGTCATGCTAGTAGTGAGGTAGAAAGCTAGAAAAGAGTTAAATTCGTTCTAGTTGCTTTATGGACAAGATCAATGAGAAAGATTGGAAATAATGTCTCGTCGAATGCGGCCATGGAGCCGCCCTTTCGTAGAATCCGCTTCGATATGAGTGGAAGAAAGGGCCGTGTGTTATTTTAAATGAATCACTCTAAATGTAGTATTTTGCAGCAGCAAAGTTACTGGGCCACTGAAGATGAATGTAACGAACAAATCAGTAAAAATATGGAGTGATCCACAAAAAATGTTTCTTAGATGGACCATAGAAAAAACTCCGAGCAATTGAAAAAATATCGTATGACAGAGCGTGCGCAATTCTTCTTATTCTTTTTTAAATGGGTTTGAATTTAATCCATCACGGACGTGACTCGTATCTCTGTCTTTGTCAGTCATGACTATGAAGGCTAAAGGAGGCGAATCGGAAATGGTCGAATTTCAAATTTCCGTCCTTCTTTTTATAAAATTCGCAAAATTGACTGTAGTTGGCAGGTCGAACGTCAGCGCTGTCAATTTTCTATGTAAGTCAACGTAAAATAAAGTGTTTTTTTAATTGGTGAAAAGAATCAAAATAATGTGAAAAAAAAACCTGAGTACAAGTAACATGAGTGACAAAAAACATCAAAACAAAATTTACTTCATTCCAGATTGTAAAACGGGATACAAATCAGATGTAAAACCAAACAAAACACAAGAAGAAATCAATTAAATGTATTTTTAAAGCTTCTAATGTAAGTAAAATAATGTATTTATTTCTAAATATATTTAGTAAACTAGTCACAACCCGTTTGTTACGGAGTGAAGTTTATTTTATTACAAGTTCCTGTGATATAAAATTTTACAGTCATAGATCCTGACTTACAAACAATAATTACACATTACATTTAACTTACAGAAAAGAAAATTTGTTATTTATAGAGTTAGATGAAGAGTTACTACTATTACTTTTTTGTTGAACCCCAATTTTGTCATTGTAAATGTTTCTTATAGGATCCTAAACGCTTAGAACAGTAAGCATATATAACGTTCCTAAGCCCGATAAAGCACTTTCTAGAGATGATGCTGTTCTACACTTTTTAGCAGATATTTCCAAATATTATGAGACTATTTTTACTGATGTTACTGTTAACAGAATAAAAAGGCGAAGGCCGAAATTAAAGGATGAGGTAATACCATATACATTCCCAAATCTCTTTATGCTTGTGTCATAACAATAAAAAATCTGTTAACTCTGTTTTATTTTGCTCTTAAAACTATATTTAGGTTTAATTCAAAAAAAATTTGCCACAAAATTGTACTAACCAAATTTCACCATTTGACAAACCTTTTCGAATTTGGTCATACCCACCTAATTTGTATTTTATTAGAAAAAATTAAATAATTTATCAATTAAAACATGAAAGACTTATTTAGAAATAAATACAACAGTATATTCTGTGCTTTATTTAGCAATAAACAAGTTTATTTTTATTATTTTGACGAAATTATGTATAATGCCTATAAGAAGCCATGTATTTTGAACAGCGTTACCTTCACCAGCGCCCGGTGAATTATAAAAGTTCAATTAGCGTTCGTTTCGTATTTCGAGTATGCCGTTTCGCCTCCTTATCTCTAGTCTTCATAGTCATGGCCAGAGATAAGGGACATAAAGATTGGAAACGCAACGACCGCAGCAACGATGGCGTCATCTAGCGTCTCAGATGTTAACTACAGGTCTACGTCGTTTGTAGAGAGACCAGTGTTGCCAAATATTTTTTTTGAGAGATCGTACAAGTAGAGTAGAAAAATGGTATTTCGACACAAAAATTGTACAATAGATACATGCATAGCATAATATAACTTAAATGGAATGAAAAAAAAAAGCTTTGATATGATAATTTATTTATCTATTTATAAAAATGTTTACAACTAAAAACAAACTAAAGAAAATACATGAAACTTTAAATTAACACATTTAAAGTAATCAATGATTGTCACTTGAAAGTGATAGTCGGTGTACAAAATCACCATGGTCAAAATCACGATAAGTCAGAACGAAAATGACTGCCTTCAGAAATTACGAACGGCATGTGAATCTTTGCAAGTAGTTTTTGATTTTTATTGTTTTATATTCTGAAGTTGTTGCAGATATTTAAATAAACCTACTAAAAAAGTAAAGATCGTATTTTTACGTACGATCTCACTGATGAAATCGTACATCGTACAGAGAGTTAAAAAATCGTATAAATACGATTTAAATCGTACGGTTGGCAATACTGAGACAGACAGTAGACGTGGACAGCAGTGGTCAGTTTATAAATATAAATGTCAGTTTTATGTATGTATATCGAAGAATCCTGAATTTAAATTTTAAATTTTGAGTTCATAATTGTGTTATCATCTAGATGAACTAAGCAAAATAGTTGTGGCTGTTTTTGTGTGAAATTTAAGGACAATAATTATATTTTGTAATATTACAATAAGTCGGAGAACGTATTGCATTAGTAACACATGCCACATGAACAAATTTAACAACCCCAATGTGGCGTTCTTTAATTACCCAAAGTAGGTCAGATCTATTCATGTAAGTAACACAAATAGTAATTAACTTTTGTCACAAAATAGGTGTTTATGTATTATTTATTGTTTTAGAACAAGAAAATGGCTTTAAAACGTTAGAAAGAAGATTTGATATAGGAAGAAAAATATCTGAATTCCCATTATTGAATTTGCACTAAACATTTTTAAATAAGATACTGTAAGTGTAGTATTCTTTTTAATAAATAATTTAGCGTAATTACATTGTTTAAGTTTATTTACAAGAACATGAGAGTGCAGTCGATATTTATGCAACCTTTATTATCAGGTTTTTAAATTTCCCGCTGCGTGTTTGATATCGATGAAAGCGCCACATAGTGGGTCAGATGTTAACTGCGATAAAGCTGGTCGTTGTTAAGCATTGGCATCTTATGGGCGTTTCCTATCTTTATCTCCCTTATCTCTGGTCATGGCCTAACTTAGAAACAATTTTTATGGATCAGTCGTTACTAATATAAAATATAAATACCTTCCAGACAGCAATATGATCTGTTTTTAAAAACTTTGGGTTATCCAATCCTTCATCGTAATTCATATGAACAGGAAAGTGAATCAAATATAAATCGATGTAATCCAATCCAAGATTTTCTAATGATTTTACGATGAATTCTTCAACTAAATCTTCGTGAACACCGAAAATAGGTAATTTCGTGGTGATAAATATGTCTTCACGTGTTAATTTTTCAGCATCAATCCATTCTTTAACTACTTTACCTACTATGTGTTCATTCGCGTAAAATAAGGCAGTGTCTACATGACGGTATCCTACTTCTAAAGCTGCGTTTAGTGCAGTTTCGAGCTCTTGCTCATCGTTGCACTAAAAAGTTTAAAAGTGCAATTTGATTAGAATAGTCGTATTTTGAAAATATAAAAATGCCTACAATCTACAATTTTATTTTAATGTATGTTTCAGCCATGTTAGTTTATGTCTATTATACCTAAACCACACCCTAAACGAGTTTTTTGCCTATCTTGTCGAAATAAACAGAAAACAAGACGTTGTCACATCACATTTATTTGGACTATAATTTTGAATTTTAAATAAACCATGGAAATTTATAAAGAAATCCAAAATAACAAAATTAAAAAATAAATTAAAATAATGAATGTGAATATCTCGAAAACCAATCACTTTATGAGTTCCCAACAAGAGTGTACACGATTTATTTAAAAAATATCAAAAAATGTAGAAGTATATAGTCCAAATACGTTTCTTATCCGTGTTATACGCCACTGTTAAAGTTGATTTTTTGCTGATAGGTGTATCTTATGACATCAACAATGTTTACCGAATTTAGTAAAATTATACTGAGAAATAAAAAAATTATAGCCATTAATAATTCTCAACTTTAACATTCTGCATTTCGGAAACCAGTAATATTTTATCTAAGCATGTTTCGTTTAATCGTCTTATTTTTCAACAGAAAATCTTCAGTTGTTCTGTGTCTGATTCTTAATGAAACACCATGTACAAATAAATACTAGAATGAAGATATATGATGCTTGGTATTCTATATATTATACTCTTCACGGTTTAATAGATCCCTCTTAACACACAATTTCGGTCAATTTTTTTCAGAATCAATAGGCGTCATTCCCTTATAAATTGATTTTTCCTGAATATTTCAATTTGATATTGTTTTTTGTTTCTGAGTTTTCAATATTTCAACCCCCTTATCTTCCCCTTTTCATTTATTTATTAATTCACTTATAGAACTTGATTTTTACTAAACATTTCATGTTGATATGGCCTTTTGGTTCAATTTTTTTTTAATTCAACCCCATTTTATTAAGATTTTTTTAAACCAATAGGCTTTGTCCCCTTAAAGAGCTTGATTTTTGCCAAAAATTTCAAGTTGATATTATTCGTTTTAGAGTTAGGATTTTTTTTTTAAATATTTTAACTCCCCCCATTTTTATTCAATTTTTTTATCAAAATCAATAGGCTTTGTCCCCTTATAAGGCTTGATTTTTCTTGAAATTTTCAAATTGTTATCGCTTTTCGTTTTTGACTTATCGTGCACGTGACATCGGACATCTTTGCATCGGATGGACGGACCGGACGGGACTAAAAGCGTAATACTCCAACAGTCTAGGAGGGCTCTGTCCCGCGTTCATAAATGGAGACACTGATGATCGCTTATTGTTACATACTCAACGAGTGGACATGTACTATGAGGCCAGTATCGCATTGCTGGCATTCACTAGTTAGTATTCATTGTAATTTTTTACTTTTTCATGTTAATTTAGGATATTTTATGAATCATTTTTTTGAAGAAGCCATTTTTTCTGTATTATTATATTATATAGCTGAATTAAATAAAATGTCTACAATATTCTACATTGAAATGTCTTCTGTTTTTGTACTACTGGTCCAAAAGAGGCACTAACGAATATCCTGTCTGATTATTTGCCTGACACATGGCCTTTTTCAGCAGTCAGTATTAATATAGTAAAAGGCCAGCAATTTCCCATTAACTTCCTATCAATGGGCCATTAATTGCCAATATATTTATTTTTAGACATTAAATGTAAAATTGAGGCCTATTAACTGGATTTAATGGCTAAGAGACTTCGGCCCGACTGTCGGCCGTAGTGACCTATATATACCGGCCTTTTAATTATAAATAAAGTTAAATGACCATCATTACAAATTGGAGGGTAACAGTTATTGGGCCTTTTATTACCGGCGGTGGTAAATGTGCCACCAATAATGTTATTCTACCTGCTACGAATTTAGGGTATTAAAAGTACACAGGTATTTGTGCCACCGGAGAAAACGGCATCTACCTGAGGGTATTAACAAAGATTGTCATTAAATTACCAGAAATATTACCCAGCACTTTTTTTTTTTTTTTTTTTTTTTTTTTTTTTTGGCTTGGGCACTTGCCATTCAACCAGTCGCGGAATATACCCAGCACTAAAACTTTTATTAATTTGTTCTCAGCATATTATATGTATATGCGACGCACCGCACTTTTCCTATAAAAGCGAAAATGATCTTGCGAAACGAAGCTAGAAGGAATTGGCAACAAAAAATGTAATTAATTTAATGAAATAATTTGCAACTATTGGGCTAGTTAAATTAAAACAAAATAGAAGTAGTGATGCATTTTCCAATTAAGTCCACTGAGGAGGAAAACGTGTGGAAACCCAAAAGTCATAGCCGTGTACAATTTAATATCCTAAACACTCATTAAGTACTTTAATTTTTGACTAAATCTTATCTACTTAAAATTATTATTTAGTAATTGAAAATCAAGTACCAATCAAATACCACTTTATAACTGCGGTTATTAAATTCTTATCAGTTAATAGAATTATTGAGTGTGGTGATTGGTGTGGTATTCGTGTTTATAATCTAAAGTTCATAATTCTTTAAACTATTTTTGCATAGTTTCTAAGTACCCGATAATGAGGCACTGTAAACAGTGAGTAAGTTGACTGGTTTTTGAGAGGGGTTAAATAAGTTTTCCTCGGGAGTAGAAATAATTTATTTTTCAGTAATTATTCAGTTATATCTCAGTCAAGTCGTTTTTAGTATAGTTTATCATAATGGATGTTAAAATTGTCAAAAGTATGTACGGAAATGAGCTTTTGGTGCTTAATAATTTTAAGTTTAAAAAAGAAAAAACTTTAAAAAGTGGAGAAACATTTTGGCGTTGTATAAAACGCAAAGAAAAGTGTTCTGCAAAAGTGTTTACTGTGCTAGGACCAGATCATGTATTAACCTGCACAAAATGTTTGCTGGGAATTTAATACTTTCTAAAAAGAAGTGAGATGTTTGTCCTACTGTTTTACGAGTCTTTATATTTGAAGTTGTTTTTTTTTTGTTTCATGAAACAATATTAAAGCAATTTTAAGAAAAAAAAAGTTTTAAAAGAAGTGCACCAAAATTTGTTATTTAAAATAAATACTGTCCATTCTAGTAGGAGATATTTACAACTCTACATTTAGTGATTTATTATTATGCTTACGGTATATTTTAATTATCAAATATAAAAATTACATTTTTTTCTAAAAACAGTTTAAGATGAATTTACAATTTAATGAATTTTACAAAATGACACGTCTCCTAAAATATTGAATAATATAAAAATAGACTTTACGGTCATTTAAACTTGTTTTAACTAGTAATAGCAATATTGGTCTAATCGTTGATTCACTTTGTCTACATGTTTATATTATCCAACGTCTTTTGTGTGGAGGTATCTAGTGGACGTAAATAATTTTTTTAAACTATCAAATTGTAAATTGATCCTTCACTATTTTTGGGAAGGATATGAAGATGGCCTTGTAAAGACGAAAGCGCACGCCTGATTTTATATTTATCTCTAAGTTTCTTCACCTTATTTCTAGTGTGTACACATACACATTTCCAGTATTTTTATTTAATAAAATATTGATTGGAAGACTTCCCTTGGCCGGTTGGTTGTATTATTATAATAAAATATTAATTTTTATACTTACTAGAAATGTGCCATAACCTATCGAAGGCATTTTGATGTCGTCTCCCATTTCCATATACATCTGTGCGGCCATCTTCACTGCTTGAAAAACACTAGTGCGTGTACGTATCTGTTTAGTCCCCAATATTGGACACGTAAAGGTTTGTTAATAATTAATTGGAAAACTCCTAATATACCCCAATTTTACCGTAACCTTCTACTTTAAGTAGGGAGTCTTAATTAAAAATTTAACTGTAATTAGAATGCTCTATGTTTCTAAATTGATTAAGAGAAAAATTTATAAAGTACAATTAAAGAAAATGTATATGTGGGTCCAAAAAATTATTTTCATTATTTCGTAGGAGTAATTTTGAAAAATTTATTTTGGAATATTATTTAATGTTTTTGAATCAATAAACAATCTAGTTAATAGGCATAAAAGGCGTTCAAAATTTGAAGGGGTGTTTTTATCCATATACAGGGTATCCCAAAATTAGAAGGTCATATTTTAACTGCGTAATCTACATCCTAAAATAGAAGTAAAAGTTCATATAAACATAGGTCCGAAAACGTTTCGTTTCCGAGATACAGGGTGTTAAAAGTGAAGTCCTGATGACACACTTTTGTAAATACTTGCACCGATTTTGCAGAGCTGAAAAAAAATTTTCTGATTCCACAGGCCTACTAACTATTGTTTGCACTTTTGAATAAGATAATATAAAAGCATGACATTTTCAAATGTTTTTCTCTTGATAATGGTGCGTCCTAGCAAGATGCAACAAAAGTAGCTTTATTCTAAGGAAAACATTGATTTTCCAAATTTTGTAGTCAAAAATGTTTAAATGAAGTTTATTTGGAGTGAGAGTAGCCATATGTGAGTAGTAGGGATTAAGTGTAAGGGGTTAAAGAAAAGGTCCTTTATTTCTCTGAAGTCAATTTAATTGGCGACCGGTTTCGAAGCTGTCACTTCATCATCAGGCACACCTTGAATGAATGATGATGATGGATGATGAAGTGACAGCTTGCTTCGAAACCGGTCGCCAATTAAATTGACTTGTGAGAAATAAAGGACCTTTTCTTTAACCCCTTACACTTAAATAAAGTTTAATTCTGAAATGTAAAGAATTTGAGACACAAGAAAGTGATATTACGCGAAGTGAGCATGGAAAGAGTTATGTTTCTGAAAATCTTTCTTGGTTTTAGGGAAGCCATCTTCATTGGAATTCGCATCTTTCAATACGGCACGTGTTGAGACGACTATCTTAGTTCCACAGAGTGAGAATATTATGTAATGTCCTCTCTATTTGATTCGTTACGTGTTGAGTTTGAACATAAGAATCCCTGCCCTTGGCGTTATCGGCTTTGGATACGTTTCAGTGAGTGACTGATGTGTTGCGTTACGTTATGTACATCTGCAATTAGGATTACCTAATGTTTAAGATAATAAAATAGAGCATAAAAGCTATTCTTTGAATATTTAGATCAGGGGCGGCTACTCTTTAAGGACGCGCGCCCCTCTAATAACAATTTATGATCTCTTCTGGTCTATCGTCGGCCACAGCAAAAAAAATCGTAGATATCCTCGTCACTATGGAAACGGAGTGGGACACGCGCTATCCCGCTAACGAGTACGTCTTGCAGTCGACTCCTTTGGTTCTTTCGTTCGCTGTTGGTGCAGTGTCCACCATTATTACACCTTTATTTACCTAGTTTACTTCCTCCTTATTCCTGATACTCATGTTAAGTGTAATTCACTCCTGCTAAATAGCTGGTAGAAAAAATATCCACCAGTGGACACCACATCGCCGACAGGAAGGTGTAGTGGATTTTACACCAGGCCAAACGAAAGGTATGGTGTGCGTAGTGGGAGGAACGAAAGAACCTTTTTAGTGCATATTAGGGGGCATTTTTTGCGGCCGGCGAACATTTAGAATTTAGATGATGACGAGTCAGGCGCCTGTTTTACTTTTTTAAATTTATTTTATAATTTTCAGGAATTTTTACGAAGCACCATGCTAAATGATATATTAAACCCCTTAGCTATGCTATCAATAAATAGAAATTTAGTTCTGGAGATAAATAATTTCGACGAAAGTCATGAAAAAATTTATTTCAACTCGACACGTTACGTGTGGAATGGAGAGACATTGCATAAGAATCGCAGTGTGTCGAACGAAGATAGGCGTCTCAACTATGCAGCATTGACAGATGAGAATTCCTAAAGAAGAGTCACCCGAAAAAAATGGATACAGCAAAATACAGGGTGTCCCACTATAAAGTAACACATTTTTAACAGCTTATAACTCGAGAATCAATTACAATCTTTTTCGTTGTTTTTAATATGTGCTTATATAGCTTAACTGTAAGCTTTTTCGTAATTTGTTTCACTGAAATTTCATTTTTTTTTTCTATAGAACTACTATTTTGATTAATTTGTACAAAACCTCTAGTTAAGCACTATCTTTAATTTTATACTTTTTATTTTCAAATATTTGAAATATTGTAAACAAAGTGAATTAATCTAAGAAATATAATAATAATAATAATGTTTATTCACATGAGTAATTTTAAATACATAAAAAAGCAATACAATTCATCAAGAAGGGAATAAACAAAAAAAATCACAGAAGTAGTGCAACTACTTATAAGTGAAAAATAATAAAAACACATGTTTAGATAAACAAATATATAGATATACAATTAATTAATATTCTATGTAAATTTAAAACTATATAATAACTTATTCTAAAGACACATAATATATGTCCACACAACAATAAGACATATTCAGGTAAGTAGTCGGTATTTGTGATTAATGGTCCCAATCGGGAAAATATTGATAATTTTAGGTTTCAAAATATTTATTTAAATGAGGTATGTCACAATTCGGATAAGTAGTTAGTCACAATTTGGGTAAGTAGTCACAATTCGGTTAAGTAGTCACAATTCGGGTAAGTAGTCTCAATTAGTTTTTTTTTTTTTTTATATAGGATTTATTATATTATTAACCAATTTACTAAATGTTATTCTATCCTCATTTAGAATCCACCTTTTTACTTTGGCTTTAAATGAATAATGACGCGATATTTCAGTTTTTATATTATTCGGTAAAATGGCATAAATTCTAGGTGCTAGGTAGTTTGTGTGTCTTTGTCCTATTGTTTTATCAGCTCTTGGAAGTAATAGACCGTCATTATTTCTTGTGTTATACGAATGTTGGTGTGGTTTTAATTTAATTTTACCTTTTTGTATAAACATCAGAATTTTTAAACAATACATTTGTCTAAGATCTATAATATGCAATTCTTTGTATAACAAATCACTGTGATATGTAAGGTTTTTTTCATATATTATACGTAAGACCCATTTTTGAAACAATTTAGTATTTACTAACCTTATATAATAATGTAATAATATTGAACTTGTACTACTTAAATAGATAAATAAATATGTACTTACTTTTTTGGATCCTTTGGAAACGAAAACATACTTATTCCCTGCCTTTCTTTTGAATGACACCCATGAAACGCACAAGTACTCCCAGGCGTACTTTTTATAATGATATATAGTGCTTATTTTTTCGTGTTAGGCATACGAATAGTATACAAATTAATAAAATGGCAACAGGGCAACAGCCAGTCTTCGACTAGGAGCATAGCGATAGCCGGGATATCGTAGTTGCCACATGTTCGCTGTGAAAGCACGGCTATGCCTAATACAAAATAATAAGTACTGTGTAAAACAATTTAACACTTAAAAGGTTCAAAAAACAATGTTTAACCCAAACAAATAGGGGTCTATTCTGTATCAATTCCTTTATATTTTAACGGCCGTTAAAATATTGGCGGCCTTTAAAAATATTTTCGTATTCACTAACTTTACTTCTGTCATTATTTAAACGGATTCCTTTAAAATAGTTTTCTAATAACAATCATTTTTAAAGGGATGTTAAAATTCGACGTTAATTTTTAATGGAACCGATAATGGCGTTTTATGACATAATTGGACAAATTTTGATTGAAGAGTTACTGGAAAATGAAGAAAGGTATAATAAAGTACAAAACATTTATAATGTGTAGGTACATCTATTACATTTAATATTTCAGAACCGAATTTCTATTACACAAAGGTCAGTTAGGGATTGAGTAATCTATTTCAATTACCAAATGAAGATTGTAAAAATATTTTTCGGTTTTAAAGATGAAGCCAGAACTATAGTTAATATTATAGAGCCAATTACGTTGTATCTATTGGGTTTATTTTCCCACCGAGAAGCAAATTTTGCTGTTCTAAAAAGCTTATCATCAACTCTTTTTGGTTTTTAGTAGTTCTTGGTGTGCAAGGCATTTTTTATTTTAAATGTATGTAGGTATGTTTTGGTTTTGAATTGAAAATTGAGGGTTTGTATAATTATGTTTTCAAATGAATTCTAATCCTTCAAAATTAGTTCAAATGAATCTTCAATGTGATGTTGTCAAGTGTTCTCCTGTCCGGTAAAATAAATAATTATTAAGAGGTCTCTAAAATTTGTGTACCTATACAGAATACCATTTTTGGTTAAAACAGTTAACGGGCCGCTAAAAGTAAAACTTTTAAAGGCCTCTAAATTTTAACGGATATGTTACAGAATAGACCCCAATAACAGTTAAAGTCAAGAATCACGACTAAACTACTTGAACTGGCAAGCCAGCTATGTGTCCGGATTACCCCTACTCCATTTTTTGCGGGAACGACTTTGTCGCTTCTCTGCAAACGAATGAAAGATCTTAGTGGTTTTAAGCCTTTAATGTGAATTGAGAAAGTTGGGAGGGAGAGGAGAATGTGTGAGCCGACGAGAGTCGGAATCTGATGACTTCAAATTTTTAATTTTTGTGTCTACATGCTTCAGTAGTCCAGTAGAGGTGTCGAGGGGAGGTCTCAACTCGGAAGTTCCAAGTTTGATCTCTGATACACTCTTTTTTATTTTCATAATTTCGTAGGTCAAAATGGGGATTATATTTTTAACTTTTCCAAAAAATGCATATTTTTCGCATCTAAACTGATTTGCTCACCTTTCCTTGTCAATTAAATTGTAATCAAAGGTAAAAGCAGAACTAAATAAATAAAAATACGATTTCAATATTTTATATTATTTACACACATTCATAATGTATTTTACAAAAAATAGTATTAAAAAACGATAAATGGAAAGAATTAGATACGAGAAAGAATTACAATGTTAAACACTATTTGGTTTTATCTTAATAAAAAAAAATATGTGAATTATTATAAATAAATATGATTCCAATATAAATGGGGAACAATGATTTTATTTAACTAAATCAATACATTGTCTTTTGCGACATCTATAATTTTAGTAACACATAGTTATCAATATTTTCAAAAGCGAAATCTATATATTCTTATAGATTATGTGTTTGTGCTTAGTTGTAGATGACGCTGCATTACAAAGAAACTTGTTTATGGCTAGAAGTTTCGCATGTACTATATTTTATTGTCAAACCGAAGATAACCTTTATCTTTTGATTTCTTTAAATGACTATCCTGTAGTTTTTCTTAAACAAAAATCAAATTAACTATTTTCTTTGTTTTATAAATATCAACAGTGAAAAAGGCAAATATGAAAATGGTTAATTTTGTATCACAAATTTTGTTTAGACATTAAATATCTTTAAAATCAACCACATAATATGAAAGTTTGACCACCTTCTTTAATAATAATAATCTTTATTAAGTGTTACGTTATAATCCAACGGCAGGCATCATCATTTAAAAAATGTGTAAATGATTTATTTTAATTATTATCAATAGTTTCACAGATATTTGGCCTGTCAGTTTTTATTGGGTTACCATTTATACCAGGTGTAATACAAGTATGCCCCAATATTTATTTTAGTAGGTGATTATATAGATGGTTCTAAGATGAAAATAAAGAAGAAATAAAGATCCTAGGCAAGTATAACTTTCTAAAGCAGCGCCCAAAAACTTTGTTAAGATATACCTCGTATGATGTAAAGGGTTTCAATATACATCAAATGTTTTAATAAAATTATACATCGACTCCCCATTCATTGGTTGAACATTTATCTTTAACAGATTATCTTGAAAAAATATTCAAAGAATTCTACTATCTAAATAGTTATAATAACATATACTTTCACAAAATACTGTAGATTTAATTATATGTAATCTATTTCTACTTCAAACCGTAACTATACTCTGATGATAATGGTGACGTTTGACGTTACTTACATACTAAACGTTGATGAAAAATTATCAAGTTTAACAATAAAAAGAAGAAAATACAGTGTTTAATCGTAATTTTTTGTGCTTTTTATGCTAACACAATTAATCAATCATTGCAGACAATCGAAAATGTGTCCTATGGTTGGGACCTACGCCAATTGGTTAAAACAGATGTGTCGAGAGCCCGACAAAATTATTCGCAAAAAGAATTCATGTTGAACTTGAAAAACGTTGAATTTTTAAACTTTTTTTCTTACAGAATTGTCACTATTATCAACTAGTTAACAATGAATAATACAATCTCCATTCTGTTCTTCCTATCATCGATCACCTGAAAAAATAATACCTTATCTTTAAATTACATAAATGAATATAAACAGAATGATTTGTTTCCGATAAAAAGATAAAGTTCACCATTATGAAAAGTCCAAAAGCGCTCATATAAAATTTTCTAGGGGGGAACTGAAAATATATGTGGGACATTTGTCCGTAAACAGCATGAAAACATACAAGCATCATTTTGCTTCAAAAAGCCTGATTACAATAAAAAAACACCGCTATGTCATAACCAATATTTTAAATTTACAGGGTGTCCGTTAATTAATGATATACAGCAAAACTTGCAGATTATTTGGGTAAAAATATTGCGATTTTTAGCTTAGTCCAAAAATTGATAATATGGGTTTTTGGGAGGCGAGAAATTCAAATCCGTTATTAGTTCTCTTTCAAATTGCCAAACTTTGTGTGCCATGGTATATTAGCCCAAATGTTAAATATTGTGTATTTTGTATTTGTAAATGTCGCTCCGAGTGACCGTTTTCCAGGTATCTGCGTACCAATTATTCGATACACCTTTTAAAGTTATTATCAACTTTTGGTCTAAGGTAAATTTGATTAAATTGCAATATTTTTACCCAAAGAATCCGTAGTTTTGATGTGTTCCATTAATTAGCGGACAACCTGTATATTATCTATAATAATCAATAAATAAAGTATAAGTAAGTTGTATATATGTATAACACTACGCCACTAATGCTGCGTTTGAATATCTACATCGGATGCATCTGAAATGTGAATTTTTTATCACGTGATAGAGAAATTAGATCTAAATGTAGATGTAATAAATAAACGCTCTGGACTTTATTGGTCACGTGATAAAATGACAATTACAAGTTAGAGGTTTATATTTTTTAAATTTTACTTTTGAGACTAGAAAACAACCCAAATGGTCTAAGATTCGAAGTAAGGTCGACCTTAACCCATCTGTTTAATGGATGAAAGTTTCTTTTTATTAAATAAAATATGTTTATAAATATACCGCAAATGGGTTGCCTAAGAAAATACGGTCCAGTCTATTTATTTTCTTAAAGTATACAAAACGACACCCTGTAAAGTATTCTCCAGATGTTTCGACTATGCCCAAACTTTAATCAGCTCACCCCAGGATTAGATTAGATTAGGAGTTGGACGTTATTTGTCCTTGTCCACCGCGACCTTTTCAGATCTATTGTGGGACTCCGTTTGTTTTAGAGTATGTCGTCTAGCCTGGTCTTTTTTATTAGACCTACTGTTATCCTAACGATTTGACGCTTTTGATCCAGTAGGTCTTTCGTGAACTTGGTCGATGGTTCCTTGATGAACTGTTTGGCCTGTCTCAGTCTTGGATAGTTGTTTCACCATAACTGAGACTCTTTTTGCATCCATTGTTTAATGGATGCCTTGCACAATGCCTTAGCAACTCCACAGAAGGGTTCAGGGCCTGTCATGGCCATATCTGAGCCTTCTTGGGCTAATTCGTCGGCCTTTTCGGCCTGATAGCAGGATGGATTAAAGCTTAAGTTTAAAATTTGGTATTTTTCTCTTCATCCGTTTTTGAGTTGTCTTTAAAATTCGAAATTTAGACTTTTTCTCAAATATCTCGAATTAGGTCCATTTTAGGGAAATCATGTATAGGGACAAAATAATAGAGAATTACATCATAAGCAACTGTTATCATGATTCCTATATACTCGCCTTATCTGTACACAGAAAGGAAAGTAAAAAATGTCCGTGACCGTATTTTCTTAGGCAACTTTTTTGCAGTATATTTAAAGACTATTTAATAAAAATAAACTTTTATCAATTAAACAGATGGGTGAAGGTCGACCTTACGGATCCTGGACTAAAAGGATAAATTGATAAACTTGGCTTCACAGAACACCTACTTTCTGGCATGGAACGAACATTTCATTTCAAATAGAGATGTAAAAAATGTAATCTGGATAGTTACATCTCGGATAAACAAACGCAGATGTAGGTAGATGTGTCCGATGTGGATAAACAAACGCTCGAGATGTAAAAAAAATAATCTGATGTGGATATTCAAACGCAGCATAAGTAGATGTCGATCGCTAACGAGAATAACGCAGCAGTGTTCTTGTTGTAACTGCCAGAACCCGAGAATAACAACCACAGAGAAGCGACAATTAACTGTCGGTCCTTTGAAGTTCAGAGAAAAAAAATTAATGGAGCGTAATAAATACTATACACTGAGAAAAATATTGAAAGTAATATTTTACCTTACTTATCGTGCATAAAATTTATATAATATTGGTTTTTATTACACGTTTCTGTCACTTTTAATTTGATTTTTCTAAAAACAAATAAAAAACATGCTAATAGACCTTTCCCGTTATTAATGATATCTATTACTCATGCTCAAATCCTACTTCCTGTTGAAATTAAAAATTTATTGTTGTTTTGTTTCCTACTCTGTTTCAATTACACATCCGTAAATGTCATTTTTAACTTTGATTATTGGTAGGGGAGCCAGGACACTTTTAGGTATGTTATTTGGGCAAGGCAAAATTTCGTTTATTTCGTTTATACTAGGCTACGTTCTGTTTACCAGGCCATTTCGCACTCACACACACACACACTGACAAGTGCATAATGACGTCATAGGTATATTATCGGATAAATTGGAACGGAATTTTAAGATTTTGGAATTTGACATTTAACATGTTTGTTGTTTTTTGTAATAGGTATGAAGACTAGAGATAAGGAGGCGAATCGGCCTTGGTCAAATTTCATATTTCCGTCCCTATTTTTATGGAGTTCCAAAAAACTACTGTAGTTGGCGGGTGGCAAAATAACGACGTCTATTTTCTATGCAAGTCAATGGGAATTAAAGTAATTTTTGTAAAATTTAGTGAAAAGAATAAAAATTAGCTGAAATAAAGAACCTAACTACAAGTAACAATGAGTAACAAAAAACGACAAAGCAGGATTTGCTTCGTTTCGGGTTGCAAAACGGGATATAAATCCGATATAAAATTAAAGAAATCACAAGGCGATAAAAATCCAAGTCTTTTTAAAGCTCTTAGTGTAAGTAAAATAATGTATTTATTTCTAAATAATATATATTTATTGTAAAATAGTCACAACCCGTATCTTACGGAGTGTAGTTTATTTAATTACAAAATTCTATAATAAAAAATAATAAAGTCATAAATCCTGACTTACAAACAATAATAATTACACATTAAATTTAACTTACAAGAAAAGAAAATTTGCTTTTTTTATGTTTTTTGATGTTAGATGAAGAGTTACTACTATTATTTTTCTTTATTGAACTGCATTTTAGTCATTGCAAATATTTTTTATAGGATCCTAAACGTTTAGAACAATGACAGCATGTGATTCCTAGGGCTGATAGAGTACTGTTTAGTTATGATTCTGTTTGCGAGCTACACTTTTTAGAAGCTGATATTTTAAAATTTGATGAGACTATTTTAACTACTGTTAACAAAATAAAAAGAGAAAGGCCGTGATTAAAGAACGAAGCAATACCATGTATATTTTATCTTACGTTTCTGGATACATTGCAGAAGATACCAGATTTACAAAATGTGAAACTTGCATTCGACAATTAAAAAGTATTGAGCCTCAGTCGAAAGATCAATTAATTACGTTAATAAGTAAAGGATTTTTAATATACCCTTCTCATTCTCTAATTTCTTTAATATCAATGCTAGAATCGACTATCTTAGAGGTTTTATCAATAAACCCAGTTCATCAAGAAACTCTTTTTGAAATCTTGAATAAAATTGAAGAAATGGGCATTTTATTTGTAGGTTGTGATGAACACAAAGAAAATATTACATCTGCAATAATTCGCTTTTACCTAATCAGTAGAATGCATTTTATTTGTAAACAAATTAATAAAATTGATGAAGCTAAAAAAGAAAAAAGTAGGTGTCTACGAAAGTAATCAAAATTGTAAATATGTATTTGTAATTTAGATTTAGAAATTATGAAAATGATAAAAACCCTAACTCCCCTACGAAATTATTAAACACTAATATCCCCAAAGTGACAACAGACTAAAAATTGAAAAAGCTGAGAAAAAAGAAAGAACAAATGCCTGCACGACCGGATCTTTTCAATTTTTCTTTAATTTCTTTTCACTTTGGGGATATGAGAAAGTAATTTTCATAAATTTGTAAGGGGAATTAGAAATTTTTCATTAATTATGTTATTTAAGCATTTTGCCACTTTTAAGAACAAATTAAATGCCACCATTGTTAGTTGTCGAATACAAAATTACCACAAAACTGTACTTACCAAATTTCACCATTTAACAAACCTTTTCAAATTTGGTCATACCTAATTTTCATTTTATTTAGATAAAATTAAATAATGAATAGTAAATAATGTTTAACATAAAGACTCATTTATAATTAATACCAACAGTATTTTCTGTACTTTAGTTAGCAATTAAAACAAAGACTTATTTACAATAATTAAAATCAACAGTATTTTCTGTGCTTTAGTTATAAACAATTTGATTTTTATTATTTTCATAAAATTTTGTAAAATGCCTAACTAAATATTTTCATTTAAACCGTGTCTTAGTATGCCCTCAGCCCTATTTAGCTTTAATTAAAAAATAATTAGTCCTACCCATCAAATTTCAACACTTATCATCAATAATTTGCATTTTACTTAAATAGGAATAAATAGTAAATAATGTATCAGTTAAAATATGTAAGACTTATTGAGAAATAAATACAACAGTATGTTCTGTGCTTTATTTAGCTATAATCAAGTTTATTTTTATTATTTTGACAAAATTATGTATAATTCCCATAAGAAGCCGTGTATTTTGAACTACGTAAACAGTACCAGCACCCATGCGGTTAATTATAAAAGCTCAATTGACGTGTGATTTTTGGGACCGTTAGGTTAAATTATACCATTTTAAGAATTTTAAATGAAGGGTAAATACAAACTTAAATCAAGAATCCCCATTTCTCAAAAATAAATCTATTATAGAAAGCCGCCTAGCATTTACCTGTGTAAATACCATCCCACTTACTTTCTATATTATAAAGCAGTATATCACTGTTTTCGTTTTTTACTTTCCTATCTATCTGTATACAGATATAAGGAAAGTATAGGAATCATGATTTTTTTCGACCTCAAGTTTTCGACGGATTTTTACGTTTTGAGGTCCCTTGAATCCGTTTTGACTATTTTCGCGATGATGTCTGTGTGTCGCATAACTCATGAACCGATACACAGAAAAACACCAAATTTTAAACTTAGGCTTTGTTCCAGCGTCCAATGAACAGATTAGATTTTGAGCAGAGTCGGAACATCTGGGGGGGTACTTTATAGGTGGTCATTTTTATATTTTATGGAATATATCTGTTATTTACGTTTGGGGAAGAAAATTCTTCAAATAAAAGTTACTTCTTATATTATTATCTATAATTTTTGTTCTATACAAAATTTTCCTAAAATGGTCCGTATTCGAGAAATTTGAGAAAATTGTAAATTTTGAAATTTGAAGAAAACTCAAAAACGGATAAAAAAACATTAAATTTTAAACTAAAGTTTTATTTCGGCCTGACGTGAAATTATAGATTTTGGAGAAAAAAATTGTTCAAATAAAAAATACTTCTAATATTATTATCTATAATTTCTGCTTTATGTCAAAATTTCCTGAAATGGTCCGTATTCGAGAAATTTGACAAAATGTGCAAAATTCTGATTTTTATGAAAATTGTTGAACTAAAAGTTGTTTGCCATATCGATCTCTATAATTTTTGTTTATACATGATTTTTCTAAAATGGACCATAATGAAAAAATTGTAGGAAATTTAAATTTTTCAGTATTTTCGTTTTCAATGAATATCTATAGAAAAATGTTTCGAGGTAGATGTATGTGGACGATGTATATATTTAGTTTATCCTCTAAACATTTATAGAGATGCTGCAATAGGTTGTACAAAACAACCGGAAAACGCCTATAATAACTAGATAGGAAAGTAATGTATTGAACACATCAGATTTTTATATATTGTTCAGTTTTTTCATCCAAGACTATATTGTATAATAATAAATAGTAATAAAAATATTTATTTTTCAAAAATAAGAATGTAAGCAAGTGAATAAAAATATAAATGCAAGAAAAATAAATACGAACTAACGCTTGTTTCGATTGGTAAAAAAAATTAAAACCTATGAATGACTAGTTAGTTATGTTACCAGCCATTTCAATTTTTAGAAATAAAAAAAGTCGGTGCCGCTAGGTATAAAATTAATTAATTAAAAAATTACTTCTATGACATTTATTCGTTTCTTAACCGCTCATTGGCCGTTCACCGACTAAGGCCGATAAAGATAATTATTTCATAAATTTTGAACACGACTATATTTCGAAACTCGCTCTTAGTAACAAATCTAGTTACTTTTCCCTGTGTAAATGCGTCTTTTCAATTCGCTCCTCCTAGTTTAAAAACAGAGTATAGATATGTTAACTGAGTAGTACCGCTTCCGGTGCGACTTAGCCCACGATTTTAAAGAAAAATAGATAAAAAAAGAAGAATTTATTTTTCCCTCTGTTGGTGTCACTGCTTGTACTTGTGTCACCCATGTGTCGCCCTCTGTACGTCATCACGTTTTTCTGTGCGACGAAGCCAACACGTTTTACTTTTCCGAGAAATTTTTTTGGCGTTTTTTCAGCGATGGGAAAGTCGGAGAAGCGGAAGAATACCCGGGATAGGTCTCACGACTGCCATAAGAGACCCCGGAAGGAAATGGAAATTGAGGCCTTAAGAAGCAAACTGGAGTATGCCCGAGATAAGTGAAAGCGGTGTGGACAACTCGTCAAACGAGGACGCCATGACACTGTAGAATACCGGCGTAGTACTTCTAAAAGATCGAGATCACGCAGTCCATCTAAACCTTCTTGTAGTACTTCTACAAGATCGAGATCATGCAGTCCATCATAACCTTCTTGTAGTACTTCTACAAGATCGAAATCACGCAGTCCACATGGGTCATATAAGTCACTGACAAAAGCCCGTAGCCCCTCGCTGGGTACGGCAGACCCCCTGTCCGAGTCAATACTGCTAAGTGCAGAGGACAGCTACAGCTCTATCGATGAAATAGAATCCGAAAACTTAACAAATGAAAATACTGAGGTTCTTACAGCACAAAACCCAGACCCTACCGAAATCCTAGACGAAACCACCTTGGAATGGTTAGGCGAACTGAAAAAGCAAACGGATGAAATAAAAATTCATCCAATAATTCAAACACGCTGGCGCACGATTCTTTCAAGCGGACTGGACAAAGAAGAAAGAGCGAAAATAGTTGATAAATATAATATTTCAACTAACATAGAGGTTTTAAGCACCCCAAAAGTAAACTTAGAGGTATCAGCAGCTCTCCCCATATCGATAATAAATAAAGATACATTCTTAATAAATCGACAGGCCCAGTTGGGCAGAGGCCTAACAGCTACTTGTCAGGCATTGAATTTGCTGCTCAAGAATAACCTCGAATGTTTATAGCGTTATATGTTGGACATGCTAGACCGCCTAGTTCCAGGGATCCAATTATTTTTGTATATTAAGTCCCATGCTTGAACCTCCCAGTGGTCAACCATCCACGACGTGACTTGAGAGATGACTGCTTAAAACGTACCACACCAAGGGTAATCAATTATGAGCAGAATAATTAGCATGACAACATTCAAACAGGTGTCCAAATAGTTACATCACCCGATATCACGCCACGTAACATTCATTGGTCCGATCCTAGACAGGGCCTGATTTAACGAGTCGCCTCACTGTCTTTACTAGAAAGAATCTTTTAAGAAAACTTTTTAAAATTTATTCAGTTATTATTTTTCAACTAGCTAACTACGACATGAGTTAAAAGATTGCCGTACTGTGAAAATATATTTTCAGAGACAAAGATAATCTACAAAAATGAAAAATAATTTTGTGAACTTTACTGCGTCGAGCACATTATTTTAAACCTTCTACAAGACTCAGAGACCTTCTATAAACTTCAGGTATCATCAGGTAAAACCGCAAAATAAAAAAATAATCTTTTCATGGCTGCATTCTAGTTTTAATTTTTTGATTTAGGATAAACAAAAATTATTCTACGTTTCTTATATGTGTTCACCTGAATACATTTTTGAATTATATGTCAAATTAAATAAAACGTCTTTTATTTCACATAAAAAATAACATTACTTTAAAAATATCCATCATATCTGATATAAAACTTTAAATATAACAATATTTAGACTGGTGACGTATTCGCGGGCGTGATTTCATTAGTTGCTGCGGAGTAGTTTACTTAATTGTGCACACAAGTCATATTTTTTTGACATTTTTCAACCGGTATTGCAGTTTTATAGGTTAAAAGCGATTAAACTGCTGCAATAATTAAAGATTCTTCTTTACACCATTTGACTCAAATTTCCCCTAATGGAAGTTTTCCGTCACATGCGGTGGCGACCTCGCATAGCTAGCCGATGGACTAAGATGCAACACTTCTTGAAAGAAATGTTTTAAGTAACTAGGAATATTAATTTTATATGGGTAACCAGAAATAGAATTGATTTAAGTGCAGCTTGAAATTGTTGCAAAAAAATCCTCTTAAGAGCATCGTCGTTAAAATACCTGTAAAGTCATGTACACTCTTAATAGTTTTAATCTATTTGTACAGTTAAAATATGTTAGAAATAATATTTTTTATGGAAAATTGTCATAAAACATTCCATCCACAGCCAAGTGAAGTAGTATACTCTCTACCATCTTTCAGTGAATACTAAAACTTTATAATATCTATCTATGGGACTATCCCCTCTTAAAACAGTATTTAAGAAACTTTTATTATGTTCCTTGATGAATATATATGGTAAATTTTTTCATTCCATGCTGTATATAATTGAAAACATAATTACTCACTTTCATTTTCATTTACTATGTTCGATTTCTTAACCCTTGTTCTCAGAACTCTTTTACTGGACAATTCTGCTTCACTTGGACATTCTATTTCTCGACTGGCCCTTTTCCGCACTTTCCTAGATTTTTCTTTTGCGGGTTTATTCTCATTTTCAGCTTTCTGAACTTCGGAATTTTCAGTACTTTTTTCGAAGCTCAAGTTTTTAGTTTCTTCACTAAACGTTTGATTCGTATCAGTCATTTCATCAGTTTCAGTCTTCGCTATACAGCTTTTATTAGTAGGGGTAATGTTATCCGAGCTATCTTCATGTTTTTTCTTTTTATTGGGAGTTTTCTCCTTTCGAGTTCTTAAACTTTTGCGACCTCTAGTAGCTGGAGGTCTTTGAACTGAATCGTTAGATTCGGTGATTATGTTTGATTTTTGAATCGTTTCGTCAGATTCAGGTTTGGCATTTGAACTGGAATCTGTTGATGGTTGATCCTTGCTTTGGTTAGGATCACTTTTATTACTTGCTAAAGAGCGAGTGTGTAGCCTTTCAGTCATCCATTTATCCTCTTCAGTTGGCTGAAACAAAAATAAATTCAGTCTTGCAAACACAAAGTTTATTGAAAATAAACTGGTGGCAAGAGAGCAACGAGTTTCAACTAGTAGATATCCAAATTATTTGTATATTATGTGTTAAAATATTAAAGCACCTGTAGGTACTACTTTCACGAAAGAATAATATATTAAACTATCTTAATTCAACATAGTCAGTCCTACATAGTAGGTACAGGGAGTCCAAATAAGAAAGGACGCTGGCAATAACTACGGAACAATTTATTATACATATCTTTTTTTTTTTGTTTAACAAAAGTCGGTCTTAGAAATCACTTCAAATTATTTCAAGTTCCTAACTTCACAGCTAGAGGGCGTAATGGTCATTATCAATTATAAAAACTGATTTTAAAAAAAGTTTAATAAAATTATATCAAACCTATTAAAATCATATTCGGTATAAAATTTTACTTAATTTTAACAACCAACTCATTTATCATTGGTCGTATGCATTTCGCAATCTAGCTGCGAACTTAGAAACTTCAAAATAATTTCCTTCCTATCCTACAGCCACCTACAACCGGCATCAATTCTTATTTGGACACCCGGTACTTTTAGAAAACAATGAATATATGTTAAAATAATAATTAAGAATAAAAAATCGATGTGATATCATTAAATATTTACTGAGAAAATTAATATTAAATATTTCCCTTTAAGACTGATACGCCTATTATATTTTCAATTCACCCAGCAGATGATGACGAGCTCGTCACCGTGTTACGGCCATTATTTTATAACCTTCTAATTCTTATTAGTTGTTCTCATCTCTAATTAGAAAATAAAATACACATAATTTATCAATATTGAAAATATTGTAGTAAGACAAACTAAATATATTATTTATCAGTGTTGAAAATTTTAAAGTGAGAGACAAACTTAATTTGATATAAATTCTATCCTTCCTTATATTCGAAAGAGATACTAAATATTTTCTATTTGAAAAACTTTAAAAAGGCCAACCCAGCTGGTTGGAAACCTCTTCTATCTTCTCTTGTGTTGACATTTAGTTGTTTTATCTCTGATACATTTGCCATTGTTGAAATGTTGAGTTGTAATCTGATTGCATTCTGAAGAAATGTAAACTATTTTATTTTTCTCATCGTGTAGTAAATTGAAAACGAAAATGTTATCCAATTCTTTAAATAAATTTTCTATATGTTTTGTTACTCTTCTCATTTAAATTATTATCATTTTTCATTATTTGCAGATTTTATAAAATTTTCTTATTTCACAATAATAAACACTTTCGTTTTATTTCATTATTCAACAATTTTATTTTGCAGATTAGAGGTGGAAACAACCACCGACCTTGATATTAAACAGGATGGCCATATGACATAAACCCTACTCCTAATTTCTAAGCCGACATGGGTGAAAAAAACGGTCGGTGCGCATGACAATTTGGGCCCCAGACTGTCAATTTCGAGCATTTTACGTCACGTTTCACACGGCCGTACTGCGATAAGTTATATTATTTCTTATCAATAACGCGCTATTTTAATAATTATTATCAATAGAACATTTGTTTCAGCTGTGTATTAATAAAAAATAATTTTTAAGTGATTTTCTTAAATTAAAAGGTGTCGTAGTTGAATGTAATAGGTGTTAATTTAATTGTGATGTTCCTCTTTAGTGCCTTTCGATACGCCCGTGTGGGCGCCAGAGTGTCAAATATCACTTCGCTATGTGGCATGATTTTGTTGATCGAGTTTGTTCTTTCAGTTTAATATATAGTTCAGTGGAAATAACTACGAATTAGAAGGGTATAAATTAACATAATTTGCAGATTTTATAAAATTTTCTTATTCCATAATACTGAACACATCTGTTTTATTTCATTAATCAACAATTTAATATTATTTTGGCGAGGTGGGAACTAATACGAATTAGGTTATAAAACAACAAAAGTTTTGAAATCGGTGTAATGGTACATGAAAAAAAAAAAGTTGAATAATGAAATAAAATAAAAGTGTTCATTATGAATCATGAGAAGGAAAATTTATACTCTGCAAATGATTTATACAGCATATTTAGTTAAATAATCAGACATTTCAATTTACTACATGATAGGAAAATAAAATATTGAAAATAATTTCTGCAAATATTTTACTTTACTTCAGAATAAAATCAGCCAAAAACTTCAACAACGGCAAAGGTATCAGAGATAGAAGAACTTAATATCAACACAAGAGAAGGTAGAAGAAGCATTTTTATTTTTTCAAATAATAAAAAACTTTAATATTATTGAAAATATTTAAGGAAGGAATTTAAATCAAATTAAGATTATCTCGAGCCAAAATTTTCACCATCGATAAATATTATACAGGGTATCCCATTAGTGAGTAATTGCTCGATAAATCAATTCATGTTATAGATCCACAAACAAGTTTCAAATAAAAGTTATATATGGATTTGAAAAAAAAAAAAAAAACATTTTAAAAATATTTTTGGATATACAGTATGTTACGTTTATGCCTGGCAAATAAAAATTTATATTTTTTTAATTATAACACCCTGTATTTTATTTAAATTTTAGAATGATCTAGTATTTAACCCTATAATGTTTTTAAAAAATATTACAAGGTTGCCAAGCAATTTTTTTTTGAAATTAAAGAATGATGCAAGCCACAAATAAAATTATCATAATTTAGGTAGGTTAATAATGATTTTAAAATTGTTTAAAATGCAGACTTAAGATAAGACACTAACCTAACGAATAGTGATGATAGAACTGATTTATCTTATAGAAACTGTTTTGAAACATGTCATAAATATGGCTCATTTAAGTTCAATTTATTAAAGTTTTTCAAATGCACTACCCTGTAAATTATTTTAGCATTAAATTCGTTATAAATTGACTTACTTACTTAATATCTTTATTTACATTTTAATAAAATATATGTACATGTCATGGTATGTATAAACAATTTTTCACACTACCGAACCCGAGCGGCGGGTTTTTCGCGAGAGCCCTCCGGACTATGGTGGGTAAGGATACCCACCATTTGCACAATACACCCACGACTTAATAATTGTGGAAACATATCAGCCCTTACTCCTTACCGAATCGGTATTATTAAGGGGTTTGGATTTTTTGGTATCAGGAATGGGAGGTTATTTAAGGATTTGTCGTGTATTTTGTTATTGTTTTTGTCCCCTGAAAAAGCTAGAAAAAACAGGGTTGTCCTTGTATGTGCGTTTGTTTGTAATCGTCTGTGGTTGTTTAGTACAACTCACAGGCAGAGTGTTCGATACACCGTCCATCGTGGCAGCTTTCGCGGATTTCGCGTCTGCTGCCTCGCTGGCCAGTCTACCGTTCAGTCCGCCTTCCGACCAGTATGCTTAAATACCTAGTCGTCGTGAGCTGTTGTTAGATTGTCTGGGATCGTTAAGGAGGAATGTTGTTAGTTACTGTCTGAATTTATTGTCATCTGTCTCTGTATATGTTAAGTTTTGCGTGTATACAGCCGTGCTTTCTACGCACTCCGTCCCCTCGGTGTATGTTTAGGATACTATCCTTTACATCATCGGGGAGACATCGTTTGTAGAAATCATCGGCTGTTTTTAGTATGTATTCTTTAATGTGTTGTGTGTCAGTTTGTCGGTGCATTACTGCGATTCTGGCATAACGATCATAGCCCAGGGCTAGCCGAAGACACCTGTTTTGAGCTATTTGCAGTTTATTGAAATGACAGTTTGCCATTGAGCAAAAAACTGGACAACCATATGTGAGAATAGGGCGTAGGATTGATTTAAACATTAGGACTTTGTTTGACAGAGTGACTCGACTTCTCCTATTGAGAAGGGGGTAAAGCGTTTTGATTGCCGCGTGGTTTTTAGCCACTCTGTCATTAATGTGTAAATTGTAAGTTAATCCCCTGTCTAACAGGAAACCGAGGTATTTAAGTTTGTTAGAGGTCGGTATCTCCTGTTCACCGATTTTAAGTGGGGTCATTATGCCTTGTGTTCGTCTTTTGGTGATTAACATACTTTCGGATTTTGCCTCGTTGATTTTCATTTTGTTTCCTGTTAGATAGGGGATTAGTTCTCTGTTGATATGATTGTCCAGCTTTCTTACCGCTCTCTCTGCAGATCTGTTGTTCGCGAACAGACAGATGTCGTCGGCGTATAGTGCCGTTTGTACCCCATTATTACCCATTGGCATGTCATGGGTCATAATGGTGTACAAGTGGGGCGACAATACTGAGCCCTGGGGTACTCCCGCTTGTGCCGTGTAAGGTCCTGTTATTGTCTTGTTAATTTTTACGTTAAATTGTCTGTCTGTTATGTATGAGTGTATTATTTTTACAATGTGGACGGGAAAATCACTCACAAGCATTTTGTGAATTAGACCGCAGGTCCAGACGGTATCAAAAGCTTTTTCACTGTCTAAAGCCACTAGTACCGTTTGCAGGTTATTATTTAATGCCTCTTTGGCATTGTGTACAATTCTAATAACCTGTGCCACGGTACTGTGTCCACTTCTGAAACCGTACTGTTCCCGCGGTATAATTTGTAGTTCGTCTTCAATTTTGTGTAGTCTGTTAAGTATGATTTTGTCAACAATTTTAGCTACTGTGTTAAGCAACGAAATGGGTCGATAACTGTCAACATTTTTAGGGTTTTTCTTTGGTTTTACTATGGGGATGATGTTTGCTATCTTCAGACTGCTAGGGTAGTGTTGCAGCCTGAAGATTGCGTTTATAATGTAGTTTAATTGTACAAGCCCCTTTCTAGAGATATTCTTTAATAAGACGTTGCAAATGTCATCCGGTCCCGGAGCTTTTCTATTTTTTAATCGTTTAATAGTTTCTCCTATTTCTTTTGGTGAGGTATAAAACGAATGGGGTACGTGTACTGGTCCTGAATTGCTAAGGTCTTTAACTAGATTTTCAATGTTATTTTGAACTTCGTTGTTTTGTTGTGTATTTCTGAAAATATTTCGAAAGTGTTCGCCGAAGGCCTGACCTTTTTGTTCGTCTGTTGTGTATATGTTCTGTCCTTGATTCAAAGTGGGAAGCAGTGAATGAGGTTTTTTATACCTTTTCACCACCTTCCACAGTGAATTGTCGTTAGGGTTGATTTCTGACAGGGTTTTTTGCCAGATTTTATTTCGATGTTCGTTAATCGCGGTGTTTATAAATTTTGCAATGTCCATAAGTCTAACCCTGTCTTCGTCTCGCCTGTGTTGCTGCCACCGTTTTCTAATTTGATTTTTGTTTGTTATGAGTTCGAGAATTTCCGGTGGCAGTGTGTCTTTGTGTTGTGTTGTCGTTTTGATTTTTGTCGAGTCGTCTCTAGCTTTTTGTACGACTGTTATGAAGTTATTTGTGACTTGTTCTAGTTGTTGTGTGTCCGTAATGTTATTGTTTATTGTTAGTGCCTGGTCTAGTTTACGTCTGTAAGTGTCCCAGTTTGTTGTTTTGTAGTCGTAGTATTGTCTTTGTATTCTGTTGATTTTCTGTGTAGTTCTGATTTCCAAGTACACTGGATCGTGGTCGGAATTCATTGTGCTGATTGTCCTGATATTGTGCACGTCAGGGATGTTTTTTGTTATTGCTATATCCAGTGTACTTGGAGTTGAGCCGTTATAGGGTGTACATGTCGGTTCGTCCGTGTAGTGGATTATAAGTTCATTCTCTTCGGCGAAATCCCTCAACATATTTCCCGAGGGGTTTGCATTGGTACAGTACGCATCCCATTCGGGGTGTTTGCTATTTAAATCACCTGCTAGAAAAACTCTGGTACCTTTTGACATTAGCGCGTGCATGTCTGTACTAAGAATTCTCCTTGCGGGGGGGTTGTACATCCCGATTATAATGAAATTTAGGCATTTTATTATTACATGTTCTAAATGAGTGGAAATGTTGGCGTTAGGGAGTTGCGCGAATTCAATATTTTTGTTATAAATTTACCTATCCAATGGTACCACTAACATGTTAGACTATTAAATATCGAGCAATTACGCACTAATGTATTTTATTTTGTGGATTAGAGGTGGGAAAAACTAATACGAATTAGAAGGTTATAAAATAACAATAGTTTTGAAATCGATGTAAAGGTACAATTTACCGTTACATCGGGTACTTTAGGGAAGAAATGAGGCAGAAGAAAAGTGGTTTTCAAGTAACAGTAATAAGAGTCCACAACCAAAATATTAAGTAAATAAATAAAATGACCAAAATTAAGAGCCTTGAAAATAGGGACATTGGAAAAAGCGCTAATTATCACGAGCGTACAATATTGCCGCAGTTGTTTATTTTGAGGCTATAGAAGTGTACCGAACTGAGACCTTAACAGTAGTGAGGTGTTTATTAGAGCGATAGAAAGATTCTTCATTTCATTATTGAATTTTAAATTTTGTATCTAATTATTGATTTTTAAAAACATAGTACAGTAGACATTAATTACCTCATTTAATAATTCTCCCTCTGCAATTATTCTATCATCTAATTTCACTCCTTTGTCTGAATTACGAGTATATCTCTTCATATTTTCTTCTCGTAATTTTTTTGATTCATCGTCAAGCTGTGAGTAGTCTTTGTTAATAATAGAAGGGGTATCAATAAATTTGTGAGGAAGGACACCTTTCTTTATCCTTAGCTTGACTTTAAGTAATTTATACTCCTGCCAATTTTGGAAGTCCTCTTTCATCTAAAATTATATATATAAAAAAATATAATAAGATACCTTTTTATAAGTGACAAACTCGAGCAATTAAATTCAAAAGATGCCTATATTGATACAAAATATGTATTTCGAAATAATCAAAAGAAAAGAAAAACTTTAGTTTGAAAATAACATATTCATATAAAAAAAGGCCATAATGTATTGAGAAAAAATATTTGTTACAGTATTTCTGGTGTCACAGAAACTTAACATTTGAAATCCTAAACAAATTGAGTAACTACTTACATCAAAATGATCTTCACAACACCAAATCAGATTTTGTTTAACAGGTACTGTATTTCTTCCAACGAATTTGAACCAATTTAAATGATTTCTTCTCGGAACATTCACAAATATTTTTGCAGAATTCTTTGACGTATTTTTGCAAGACGGTACATAACAAGTCTTGACTAAATGGTTGGCTTCTTCAAAATCCTGCAATTAAAAAATGATATAATGTCATAAATTTAAATTATTAGAAAAATGCTACAGAAATTCTTTATAGCAAAACCGTTCATTAAACTGAAACTTTATTATAGCTTGAAAACCTGTAGGATAAACGTAGTTCCCTGAAAGTTATCTGTGAACAAAGTTGAATACCACACCGAATTAAATAATTTATAGCAATTAACTTAGCTGGCTGTGAGAGGTATTCAAAACACCGATCACAGGCGCAGCAGTAACTGGTACGGCCACAGTCTGAATGGGTGACCAAACTCGCCCCATTTATATGGCATAATGTATGGGTAGAAGGCACGAGTTTGAGTAGAAAAGGAGTAGGGCATACAAATGGTGGACAATAAGTCGGTAAGGCTGCAGTGTCGCCATGAGACCCCAGAGGAGGGAAAGTCAGGCTGGATCCCAAGCGGATAAAAAAACCGTCTGCCATCAGAAATAACTAATAGTTACAAGTTTTTTCGTAGGAAATCAGATTTTATAATTACCGTTTTGCCCATTGACGAACAGTTTATTGTAAAAATGTGTCTCCTTTGGAATAAACATCGATCTGTTTCAGCATTTTCTTTAAATTCAATGAGTACTGCCAAATAACAGGTTGGATTGTTTTGATTTGTCCACTCTGTATAATCTTTTAGTAACCAATTACATATCTTTAAACCATTTTTTATGACTTGCAAATAATTAAAAAAAAAAAAAAATGCAAAAAAAACAAAAAAAAAACAAAAAGAGTAAAAACGTATGTCAAATTCAATGTTTTTTGTTAAAAAATTGGTTAAAAGTTAACTATTAGTGGAACCAAAATTACGGCACAATAATCTGACATATGAAAAGGATAAATGAAGGTTACTAAAAACCTTTATATTTCACTTCACAATAACAGGTTCATTTCGCGCCTGATTCGAGATATGTAAACATTTATCTTAGAGACGAGGGCATAATGAATTAATTTCGCCCGCTATAGGGACCGTGCGTCATGACTTAAACGCCAACTGGTGACAAAAATGTGCACTTTTTGGGGGGAGATTTATTAATGTTTTATATGGCATTTATTGTTTAGTAATTATTAATTAAATAAAGTCGAATTATTTTCGTAATATCATTATCGAAAAAACTTGTTGAATCCGTGGATGTACAAACATATCGCTTTGGAAACCTATATTTGATTCGGTAGTAAAGAAATTTTATAAATTTCCACAGAGCACACTTCCTGTCTCACACCCAACGATATACATAATTACATAGATTGCTTATCCATATGTATCTATCTTGTATCAATTTTGAGCACTTAGTTGTAAACAAATCATTTACAGAACCGGTTTATGAAATTAGAATCTTTAGTGTTTTTTGTCATTAAGATTTTTACATATTTAAATGAACATTTTATATAAATATAATATTACAGATAATTAATGGTTTATTCTGTTAATTAAAACTAATGTAGAATGTTACTGTGAAATTAAAATGTCCAATTTGACAAACATATCATACAATTTGTTAACTATTTCTCATTTATCACTAAAATAAACAAATCATAATTAATACATTGCAATTACTGTCAAAAGAGATTGCAACAAATGTTAAAATATTAAAAATGCAGTGATTTTCTGTAAAATTTTTAGTAATATTACTATTAAACATTCAGAATAATAGATAAGTGTCCAATTACAACTCTTACAAAAGTTGTTTATATCTCATATTAAAATTGTTTACATTACCTTTACAAAGTTGTATTACATATTGCAACCCGCTTTTCGTAATCTTTTTTATAGATGGGTGAGCAATCTGTATAATTTTGTATAACATTGGGTATCTCATAAACGTCTAAGGTGGATGAATGACATTTCTACTAACATAAAGAATTATTATTATTATTCTCAATCATTTTTATTAATTTACATTTTTAAAATGTTATTGTAATACTTTTAAATTCAGTGTTACTAAATACCGATATTTTGACATTGGATACACTTGCTTGAGGTACAACTTTACAATTTATTGTCACTTAACCATTTAAATCTTTTTGCCTAAAATGTATATACATGCCCAGATTTTAATAATTTTTCCCATTTTATATCATTTTGACCATGTAAACGATTGTTTGTTACGGGCCGGTATCTATATTTAACTATATTTAATATTTTAAAAAATATCCTTTATTTTTTACTTGCAATGTTTACCCCATATAATTCTAAAATTGAACACTAGAGAGGGCTAACTTCGGCAGTAGTGCTGCCTCTATATTTCACGCATTATGCCCCCGTTTGTACTGTCTCAAAAAACTATTTATCATTAAGAAAGACTTGTTATGAATAATGAACTTTAATTAAAATGGTTTCCTGATTTTATAAAAACTACAATTTCAATCCTAAAAACTCTCATTTTTCTATTATTGCGAATTTCAAAATGTAAACAAACTGAATATTTGACGTTTATTTAAAAACTTTCTATGTTTAATATAAATTTAATCAAAGCGTGCTACGTTGCTATGGTTAGGTGTACTTGTTGATTTTATTTCAGGAATTGTTTTGTGCGTTGATACTTGTCAAATAGATTACACTTTTTTTATAAAAATGACCGAATCCAATTATATTGAATTAAAAGCGAGTCAAGCAACCGAAAATTTATTGCCCCAAAAATCTAAGCAACTTTATGAAAAAGAACATAGTATTTTTACAGAATGGCGGGCAAAAATAATGTATCGTCCATCAACGAAACTATCATGTTAGCATACTTTCAAGAATTGGTAAGATAATATAACTTCATATAAATTTAGTTTATTTATTTTCTTTTTTATTTTAGTCTGAGAAGTATAGTCCTAACACGATGTGGCAGAAATACTCAATTTTAAAATCCACTTTAATTGTAAATATGAACACTAACATTGCAACGTACAATCAATTAGTGTCATTTTTGAAAATAAAATCCAAGGGTTATGTCAAATCAAAAGTATTAACGGGAGACCAAGTAATGGCGTTCATAAACGGTGCTTCAAACGATTTCTATCTCTTACATAAAGTCGTTTTGGTGATGGGAGTGTTTGGTGGATTAAGAAGAGATGAGATGGTTAAAATGACTATTAATGATTTGGAGGATAAAGGGTCTGTTTTACTTGTGAAAGTACCAGAAACTAAAACTGCCACTTCCAAGGGCTTTACTATCGTAGAGGAGAAAGAAATAGATGCACTAAAGTTAATCCGGCAATATATGTCATTAAGACCTAAAGGTATAAAAGAAAGCAGATTTTTTCTTATACAGGGTGTCCCGAAATTAGACGGTCATATTTTAACAGTGTAATCTACATCCTAAAATAGGAATAAAAGTTCATATAAAACATAGGTCCGAAAACGTTTCGTTTTCGAGATACAAGGTGTTACAAGGGAAGTGCTGATGGCACATTTTTGTAAATATTTTCTAAAATTTCTTTAGTCACCGGTTTTCCAAAGTAAAATAAAAATAAAATTTCTGATTTCACAGGCCTACTAATTATTGTTTACACTTTCGAATAACTTATCATGAAATTTTCAAATGCTTTTTTCTTGAAAATGGTGCGTCCTAGCGAGATGCAACAGAAGTAGCTTTATTATAAAGAAAACATTGGTTTTCTAAATTTTATAGTCAAAAATGTTAAAAACTGTCAACAAAAAAAACTTAGGGCAATTTTACCTTAAGCCCCCCCCCCCCCTAATTTACCTACTTATGAAGATGATCAAAAACTGGGATTTAGTCCATTAAATAGAGCGTAAAAAGGTAAGCATTTGTACCAAATTTCACCTAATTATTTTTAAACGTTTAGAAAATATTTACAAAAGAGTGTCATCAGGATTTCACTTTTAACACCCTGTATCTCGGAAAAGAAACGTTTTTGTACCTATGTTTATATAAACTTTTACTTCCATTTTAGGATGTACATTATGCTGTTAAAATATGACCGTCTAATTTCGAGACACCCTGTAGAAATAACCGTTGCACAGCCCAGCCAGTAGGAAAAAATACTATAGCGTCCCTTCTATTATTGCCAAATATCTGAAATTAGAAAATCCAAAATAATTTACCGGTCATTGTTTACGACGCACATAGAGGCAGGTGCTACTTTTGAAACCTTAAAGATGCATGGAAAATGGAAAAGTACGGCAGTTGCACAAGGTTATATAGAAGAAAGTATTGCATCGAAAAATCGTGTTGCTCAGATGATTGCTAGTGCCATGGGTTCATCTGAAAACAACAACTGCAAAATCTCAGAAAGTGTTAATCAAAACACTACTGTGGATTTACAAATAACAAATAATGAGGGCCAATCATTCCCACTGTTGGCAAATGAAGAAGTAAATAAAAACAATGGAGGTTCCTTTGTATTTTCAGGCAATTTCGAAAATTGTAATTTTTATATTTCCAAAGACGAAGTAAAGTGTTAAGAAAAATTAGTAGATAATAATTTAAGCATTATTTTTTCGTTATTTTTAAAAAAAAATAGGAATATACCTATTTACTGTGTTTAGGTTTTGTAAATTTCGAACTTTGATTTTCACAAGAAGTAATGTAACTGAAATGTTTTATTGTAACAAATTTATTATTAAAATAAAAGTTGTTTAGGAAGTCTATTACTAATTTGAATGCCTGTTGAATAAAAGCAAATAGATCAAATTTCATGTAACAATTTTGTGAGGAAAAACTTAAATTGAAGTGAAATATAAAATATTGTATGCACCACGGGCGTAAATAGATGATTATGCCCATCGGATAACATCCATCCCTCGGGCCAAAGGCCCTCGGCCTGGCTCTGTTATTCATAATCATCCTTATTACGCCCTTGGTACATAAATAGCTATTATTTATTGTTTTTATATAAATACGATTAAAAATTTAGATGCGTTGATATAACTAATTATTTCACAATTCACATGTACTTCTGTAATATTTTCAACTGGTTAACTGCTGATCAGAGCATAAGAGTCACTTTAAACTAGAGAGACGTTTTGCAAACTACTTATTGTCAAGCATATAAAAATCACTAATATAAAAATACATGTTATGTTAATATTAGAAACAATCTTTTATAACCTCATTATTTTCTTCTTCCTCTTCATCATCTTCACAATCTTCTAATTCGAATATTGATTCTTTACCACAGTATCCTTTATAATGCATTTTGTTATGTTTAGTTATATTCACAAACGGCACCATCCCTAGACATATTTGACATGGTTCCGCATGCGATTTCATGTGAAGATTTAACATGTAGGGAGTTCGGACGTCGACAAAGCACACAGGACAAGTCGATGAATGAATCTTCATATGTTTTGCGTGATTTTGCATTCGGTGTTTGAATCCGCAAATAAAACATATGCAATAACTAAAAAAAAAAAAAAAATTGGCACCTTACTTAAACGCAAAATTGAATGTTACAAACTGATACACTTTACAGATTGATACTTGTTTTAACTATGTATAGAAGTTGTTAAAATAAATATCTTTTCCAAATAACCTTTTTAATAAAAAAAAAACTCAAAAATTAGAAACAAAGAATAAATAAATCTTAATCCAGGACAGAACTTGTGTACAAAACATTAAACGCATTAATAAGTGTCTATATTTATCAGTTTTTTTTTTTTCGGTTTTTCTTACGAATATGAATCACGAATATTGTAATGCAGTGGCCTGATTTCAGTATGGTAAATTGAAAATTAAGTGCGTCGTTTTAAATAGTGTTATCAAGGACTTGTTTTTGGATAAGTGCACAGGTGATTTCATATCAGGTGGGATAAATCAAAGAAAAGTGTAGACAACTGCGGGAAAATCAATTGTATTCTCTTCACGTTCAACTTGAACATTTCCCCTGCAGAGTTAATTTTTGTAAATGGTTCTTACAACGCATGAATGTCATTTTTCGAAAAGTTAGTCATACAGGACCGTATTGGATACGTTTTGTTTTGGAATAAATAAATTATAGTAAGTTTTTTTTAATTATTTGAAAAAGTTGTTTATTTTAATGACTTCTATACACAGTTAAAAAGGTATCACATTAGGATTTACCCTGTTTAAATTCATATTTTCCAAATTAATTGGAACACGTGAAAGTTAATTCATTAGTAAATAAGTATTTTGAAACTGATACCAGGTTTTTAAAAACAATTTTTATTGATTAAAATATATGTCTTTACTCGATGAAAGCTAGACAAAATCTACCTAATAATAAATGGAAATTAACATAAAAGATTAAGATTAAAAGTAAGCATTGAAATAGAATATGATAAGAATAATATAATAGAGAGTTATTGCAAGTTCACTCAAGGTCAGTCACTATTAGTGCCGCTCTTATTTTGACATCTAAGCATGCGCAAATCATTTATTTTATAAAACTGACTTTATTAAAGACTGTGGCTGTCCTTAATTGTGAATGTTTAAGGGCAGCAGGTAGTGGCGACTTTATAGCTTTCGGGTGCGCTCGCCGACATTCGTATCCGTTCGAAATTTTTTAATATTAAATATTTAATATATGCCTCTTCAATATTATGTACTATTATAGACAACAAAAAAGATTAACTGTAATTTAAAGTTATTAAAATGAGGTTAGAAATAAGTATAAGGACAAGGATTCTAATGTCAAAATTTCAAGTTTGATTTTAGAATGCAATTTATTTGACTCTAATTACGATGTCACTGTTAGTGGCTGGCGTTATAGAAATTTGCAATATATCTTTATAATGTTTAAATGTCAGCTGTATGTGTCCACAACTTTGTGCATAAACAATGTTTGATTTTTTTGCGGATTTGTTTTAAGTTTCTATCATACACAAGGTTAATTATTAAACATGAGTTAAATAATAATAATAATAAACTATTAACAAATATAAAAAGGTAAACTGGGACACTCGGGGGATTCTCTGCCTAACTTATTTGAGTCGCTGATATTAGTCACTAAGATAGTTATTTTTATTTTAATATCGGTTTGAAGGGTTAGTCAAGGGTCGTGAGATGTGTTTCAAGTATTGAAGTTGATGAGTGTATTTTAGTTTGTATATTTATATTTTATAAAGTGTTGGGCCCATATTTGCGTGTGTCAGGTTGTGACCTATTTTGTATAGTTGTTTAATATAATAATGTACTTGTTTTCTGAAAACTATGCGCCTTTAGACTTTTTACAGACACGTTATGGCCGATCGGTAGTCATGTGATTATATATTTAATAGCAACGTCAGTAATAGTATTTTTAAACTAAAGGAAAATAAATTATCACATGGTGTGTAATGATGAAGAATGTATAAAAATTAAATTTTTTATCAAGTTTTGAGTGTGCTTTATTGTTTAGAGCAAGACAAAGGGTTTATCTGAGTAAATTGTCCTATGAATATAGCCCAAAAAAGGATTAAGAACAAAATATTTACTACAAGACAAGTACAGTTAATTATGTTTATAGATTTGGAGGAATCTTAATTTTTAGTATTTGCTGTTTGCTTGTTTACATGTGGGTCACTCTCATTTCCGAGATTGACGTATTTTCAAAATGTATGAATCCCGCAATTAAGAAGAATATTCAAAGAAAAATGTTGGTTTTAAGCCAATATATTTCCGTTTCCGATTTTGCATAGTTCTATTCTGCAACCTCACGTATCAAAATATTATATAATTTGGACATAAAAATAATTATATCATTCCAACTACACTTTTTTTCTTCAGATATGCAAGCTTATTTTTAATTCACATTCAGAAAACACGTCTAACAAAAACATGTTTTACATTTATCTCCAGTGATTTTAAATATTGATGATTATTCAAAAAAGGGTCTGATTTTGACACTAAATACAAATTAAAAATATAAAATAAAATGTCTCTTGTTTTGAAATTAATTGACTTCAATTTTCACTATTTTGGCATTTCAGCACAATGTACCAGCTTCATTATATTGAATCACTGTCTAACGGCAGTACTAAAATAATTTTGGTCTCTTCAAAAGTATTAAGAAAATATAACACCAGGTACCAAAATGTCGTTATTTAAATTTAAAACAGATCATTTGTTTTAAAACAATCTTTATACACAGACACTAGAAATAAACAAAACACAAGACGAATCCTAGAGATCCACATGGAGTTGACTGATATGTGTTAAAGTAATAATAAATATACCGAGTGAATAAGAAATCATAATATAATAATTTCAGCGATTAATTTGATGTTTGAAGTAAAAATAAGTAACACTTTTCGTGAAAAAAGTCTAGTGGATACTATACTCAGAAAACTGGCCAAATTAATCTGGTTTAAAAATAAACCAATGTAATAGGTGAGTCAAGTTAATGCAGGTATATCAGGTAGACAGTGCTTATATATATTTCGAAAAAAATTATTTTGGAAATGTATCCAACAAAAAAGTTAATAAACTCAAAAAGTTCTCTTAAAGTAAAAGTATAAACAATATCTGTTCAGTATCGTCTGATGTTTTCTTATTTTTTTCAGATCCCTCATCATTTTTCTCTTTGAATTATTTTACACTTTCGGTTTAAATAATAATTAATAAATAATTGCTTTTGTTTTGTCTTGTTTTTTAAGGTGCGCTTAGATAACTTGAATTGTTTTAAGTTTCTGGGTTCTATATTTTTTCTAGTTTTCTTCTGTATGCTCTCTTTTGTTGATTTTTTTTTTCAATTTTGCTAGTGAATGATCTGAAATAAAAAATTTAAAAACCTAAGGTCATCTACTGTCATGGACGCATAATGGAAAGTCCACAAAATCTGCTTCCCAAATTTGCTAACATTATTCGCGATTAGATCTTATTTGTAGGGAATGTTCGATTGAAAAAAAAAAAAGAACTGTTTGGATCAAATTTTTTTATTAATGGTAGTGGCAATGATTACACATGATTATGTAAGATCACGTCATCAAATAAGGTAAAACTAACTTGTGTAAAGGAGTTTATATGTCTTTCATTATTTTATTAATATTAGATTACAGAATTCTTGATAGAATCCTAGATATTATGTGAAGCGATCAGACACTTTAGAGGAACATCCAACTAAGTCAGTCAGTTGAAACATCATATAATTCGACCATTTAATTATTTTGTACCCAATTCTGGAATGACCCGCATTTTAAGAATTCATTAAATATATATTCACATTCAATCTTTTTTGTTAAATTATAGATTATAATATAAATGGAATACTTATACTTACGTATCTTTCTTTTCATGAACTATTAGCTTATTCCTGACATAGGGAGCCACCAAGTAATCATGATCGTTTATATATAATCCATCAGAGGAATAATTGGTGAATAATACACAAATTTCTCTATCCGGGAATGTATGTTCTTCTACTATTTCTTGCTGTTGTGGCTGTTGAGTAACGGGACTATAGCTAACGGGGACCATTCTAATTTTGCGCCGTTTTGGAGCTACAAAAAGAAAAGAATCGCAGAATTTAATTTAAGAATGTAAAATAACGAGAAAACGATCAGAATTAGTGTCCAAAGAAGCTCACCAATATATTCTATGTTAGGCAAATTATAATTCAATTACAAATTAATAATAAGGATCATAATGAAACTATTGTAATCAAGCAAATTTTACTAAATAAACAATCACCTTTTTCTTCTTCGAATTTGTAGTAATTTCCACATTTTACTAACATTTTACCATTGTAAGGAAACTTTTCGGGTAAGCTCTCCCATAATGCTCTATCGGTTACCGCATTAATAGGCTGTTTTAAGATTGGTTCTTCTTTATTTCTCGACATTTTCTGTGTTAAAACATTATCAGTCATATTTTGACTGTCATTTATATTGCTTGGACTCAAATTGTTATTGGCATAATGTTCTTCGTGTAATTGTTCCATTTCCTGTATTAATTAAAATTAAAAAAGTGTCACAATAGTATGTAGGTAACTACTTTTTGGCATCAGTCGGATTTATTCTATCATATTTATCTACTTTTATATCTGCTGTATTCTAAACCAATGGTCACCAAGCCGGTAGGCTCGCAAAGGCAATTTTGGTATGTCAAAACATATTTTAAAAATACAAAGGTGTAAATTGTAGAAGCTTCCGTAAATTTCGCAAAATTTCTTAATACACACAAGCAGCGGCAACACTGCGGTCACCACACTAGAACCGATCTTACAGATGAACATTTGGATAATTGTATTCGAATGGCTGTAAAACCATAGATATATAACCAAGACACAGGATTTTGTTTATAAAATTTCTGAAGCCAACAAGAGTTCACATTCTAAGCGTCCTTGGCAGAAATACAATATTCTAATTGAACATTGCTGCCAAGTTTAAGGTGTTTTTAACAGTGGTAATGCAATTACGTTATTTCGTTATCGAAAGAAATATGTCGTCTGACAACAGCGCAATAAGAAACAATCAATATTAAAAAAACTCGTTTCATTCATGATTTAACTTCAAGATTTGTTAATCGGAGATTAGGTATGATGTATGTACAAAACAAATTAAATATCAAAAAATGTTAAATTTATTATAAGTTGGCGTTCTAACCAAAAAATCCTATTAAATAAGTTTTTGAAATATTATTGAAAATATATATTTGTTCTTTTATACAGCAAAATATTACAAAGCAATAAAAAATCTACGTAAATATGTATTTTCATCATGATAGAATAACCTTTTTTGGGGCTAATTTCAGGACAGTTTCTTTAAAAGAAGTCATCATGGTTTCCCTAGAATGTTATTGTTGATCTGTATTTAATTAAAACATTTACCAGAATAACTACAAAAATAAATAAAATGTATGTTGTATATAGGAAATGATAGTTTAAAAACGTCAAAAAGCATCGATATTACTTTATTTATATAGTCAAGAATCGGACTATAATGAAGTTGATTAGAGAAAATAAAAGAATAGGTATGAGGGTTAATCAAACATAACAAACATTAATTTGACAACACACTGAATACATTCATTTATGTGATCATCAGTAGTCCCGATAGCAAAAGTTGTATTCAATAGATTATATCACGAATTAATATGACAGTTCAATAATCTACAGTTACAGTACAAAAGCAATAACAAAACATGACAAGCTTGCCTACTAGAATTTTACAGCATTTACTGTATCCAAGCATGATTATCAGCTATTAGTCAAGTCCGGTGTATGATTATTGATTATTAATCAACTAAAAGTATACAAAATTATTACATTGTGAATGATATAATCATTTTAAGTAGAAGTACGCGAATTTCTGTAATAATTTAAAATCTCTTTTAGTAAAATGGTAAATGCAAAGACGAAAAACTATTAGACTAATTTTGTTTACAAAAATCGAATCGCAAACATTCATGGAGTCATCCACGTAGTTGTCAAATTATTATAAGAGAGTATTATTACAAGGATTGCTTAGGGTTATAATTCAGTATTGACTAAACATAAGGCTTTAAAGTGCACAAAAGGCTCTCAAAATTACATTAGGAAAGTATATATGCATTCTTAATGCCGGTTCAGTTTATTATCAATTTAATATATTTTTTCTCGTTGTACTAATATAGTTGTATAGTGTTTATCAGGAGAGTACGCAAGTGTGACAGTCGTGTAAATCAAGCGTGGTAGACGTAAATACTGATTCATTCCCATATCAACATACTTGCAACTACCATTTCCACTCAAATTAGCAGCTGTTTTCTTCTTTCTAATGCTGCAGCCGATGCGATATCTGTCTCCGTAATAATAAACACAATCTGAATGATTGCAATAAAAAAGGGCTTAATTATGAATGAATGGATTAGTCTAGTAGTTTTGCGTTGTTAGTTAAATGCTACCGAGTTCAAAATTTGTAAAATGTGCCCGGATTGCCCTTTTTTATGGTCCCTAATAAATAGGCAACACTAAATACCAAAACATGGTCCCTGATAAGTAGACAACACTGTGCCAAAACAAATTATAACCATTTTTGTCGCTTAAGCCTATCTTAAAATTGTGTCAATTTGACAATGTTTAATTAAATTTTGGTAGTTAATCTTTTGCGTTTTTTTTTAACTGCTGCCAATGGAGTTTATGTTGAGCTTTCTCCATCGCCATCGTTTTTAATAGTTATTACATTGTGAATGTCGGTTTGGCCTTTAACCTAAAAACATTATTTTAAAAGAAAAACAGTTGTTACAAAAACGTTATTTTATTAAAATATTCTCACTACATCTTCGTACAAAATAAAAAAATAAACAACTTAATAATAAGTAATCTAAGCAACAAGGTGGATATGAAAGCCATATCGCATGAAGATAGGCATCATGCTCAATCTTTTGAGTGCGATATGAACAATCCACTCGAGTTGTACAGTAAATTTTTTCTACGTACCCACTAACGAAAATTTACAAATTTTATAAATTAATTTAAATTTTATACATATAAAATAACAATTTTAAAAATAATTTTTTATTTGGTTTTAGATAGTTTTACATTTTACGATTTATTTGTAAATATAGACGAATTTCTAGTGGAATTCTATTATTTATTGATTCTTTACAAGAATCACTCATTTTAAATTATATCTAAACTGATATTGATAGAATTGTCAATTATTTTAATAAAAAAAAAATAGTAACCTGGTAGATTTCATATCCGTACAGTGTTCTTACTAGAATTAAAATTATATTCGTTCAGTAGAACACAATGGCCTACATTTTAGTTCTGTAGTCAGTGCGTAGAATAGATAACATCCATGTGGGTTAAAAAATAGTAGCTTATGTATCAAGAGTGGATATGGACAATCCACTCGAGTTGAACAGTATATTTTTTCTATGAGCCACTAACGAAAATCTACAAATTTTAAAAATTATTTTAGTTTAAGACAAAATAATTAATTTTATAATTTATGAATTTTACGAATTTAAAAAACAAAATAAACACGAAGAAAAAATTTTTTGAGCCGAGCCCAGATTTGAACCCGGGCTATTCGCGTGGAATGCAGATGCTCTGTCCACAGCTCCACGGTCACTTTTATGATTCTAGTTTTAATACTGGTAATTAAATTAGTTTCATACAGTTTAATCAAAATGTGAACCAAATAAAAATGCTATTATTTATCGATTCTACACAAAAATAACTCATTTTAATGTATATTTAATCTCAATAACTAAAAAATATACTGACAATTAGTTTGACAGAATTGTCAATTATTTAAAATTTTAACAATAATAGTTTTTGCAGTGTTCTTACTACCTAGAATGGATATGAAATATATTTGTTCTGCTGAACGCAATAGCATACTTTTTCGTTTTGTAATCTGTGCGTAGATAAGCTAATATCCATGTGGATGTACAAAATATATATTCTTGTAGCTATGGATTCTCATTAAGATGCTGACACCACGTGATCGGTTTTGCTGGTCAGCTCTTATCTACCATCTGTCTCTCTTCCTCGAAGCCACCACTTGGCTTTTATTCCACCTAAGATCTTGAACCAGGTTCTACAAGCGAGGTTTGATTTTGCTTACTAAGTGTAGATGGCGTTACTTTACGACTTTAATTCTCACATTACCAGCATCCATGTGTCAAAATAAATTTAACGAATCTACATATTCCGTTAAGAGTTTGGAATCGAGAATTGCTTGCTGATGAGTCCCAATAAATACGAAACCGATCCAAAAATAGCGTTCTCTCAGTGGAAGGTTTAATTTTGTGAATAAAAAGACGCAGTATTTTTCCATGTATTTGTAATTTTTATAAGAAGAGAGTGCTACTATTTTATTAAATTTGGTTTTATTAGAAAAGTGACATCCTAAAAATAAATAAAATAGGAATACCCACTAGTTTCATCTCTTAAATAAATAAATAAAAACCCGGCACAATCTCTTTAGAATTAGATCTAGAATTAAGTGGTGAAAACCGCATCCTTCAAAGTCTAAAAATAAAGAAACAGCTGTTCAAAAACTTTTCGGCGCCTCTTAACAACAAATTTTTTTTTACACCCTTCAGACCTCCCGTGCTGCACCCTAGTCCGTCTGTAGTCTGGCAGCACTGCAGCCTGCGGCTTATTGTACCACCATTTGAAGGTCCTACTACTTTCCCATTCACACCCTCATTCATTCCACGTCGTCGATGATTAAACGCTAGTTGGATGAATCCCATGGTGACACGGCCCATGGTGGAAACTTCCCAGCGGTCACCCATCCACGGCGTGACCGGAGAGATTACTGCTTAACTGTTGCGAGTAAGTGGATGCACACTAAGCTCGCGGCTAGCCTCTCCGGCTTAACAACTAATTAAAAAAAAATAAATTTGAACATTTTACTGACTAATTTGTTAAGTAATGCGCGCTTTATTAAATATTACTGTCACCATCCTTAACATTGAGGGTGACACTCCTTTTTAATAATTATTCCTTTTTTACAAATTCGGTAGATCACAACTTCTTTTTAAATCACCAATTCAGACTTGTATATGAAGGAGGAATTTGAGATATCTTTCGGAAAGAGAAATCAACTTCTTCCATAGAATTATTTGGATCATAGCCTCAGCTTACTTCAATAACCAACAAACTTTTCATTGTCATCCTGGCCACTTTGATATCAGAAACTTAAACTTCATCTCCATTAGGTACTTGTTTTTTTTTGTATTGCGATTGCTGTACATTCTCTAACATATATGGTCATTTGGCCATTGTATATTTCTCATAGGCTTCATGTTCTATCTACAGACATGCAGGTATGTCTAGCAACTAAATAAGGCACGTCTAGAAACTAAGTGTACTAGGACCTTCAAGGGCAGAGGGATTTTCTTTGCTATGTTGGTCACATTACCGTGCAGCTTAGCTCCAACGAGCCCAGGAACCAAGAACGCGTCAATACGACCTACAGTTTAGTCACAGTTCCCGTGAAAGAT